CTTGGAACTTGTGGCCAAGCTACCCATTTAAACAGCACAGTTGCACAAGGTTCTTGAGCACATCCTCGGTATCTCCATGTATCTCCCCATAGTGGTTTATGATGTCATGTGTGTGTGCCACTCCTGACCAACTGTTGCCTTATGTTTGTGCAAGGGGCTGGATCAACGTATCCTCGCAAGCCGGCTTGTGGATCCCAATTCAACTGCCATGGCCGCAAAAACACACCACCAGGGACAAGAAGATCAGCTTCTGTAGCATAGTTCCTCCAACTCCCATGAAGTCAGTTTTCTTTTCAATGAAAGAAGCAATAAATAGAATATAATAGAATGTTCACATGGACATCCAGAAAGAATGTAATGGTGCATCCGAGCTTCACTCCAGGTTCGGCTGGGAACTGTAGCTCCACAAAGCTGTAGAACTCCTTTCCATCAGCCTGACTGAGGTCCATTGATGTGAGAAGATGCATCAGGACCGACTGTCACAACTGATCACAAGAACGTTTTCTTAAATGTGTCATGTTTGTGGCCAAGAGTGTTTGGCACCTTTGACTCACACAGTGTCAAACGTTGAACTACATGCTGGTGACACTAGCAGGTTTGTAGTTGGGTTTGCTGAGAGGCACCTCCTTCTGCAAGCAATGTGCCAAGTACTTGTCAATGCTGGCGTGGCTGGTGACCTTGTCATTCCTTGTTTGCGCACATTTGAGCTTTACACATGTTTGTTGTTGAAGCTGCATGCAATGATGGTTGCTCTTCTTGCTGTTGTCAAGCCAAGTGTCATCCACTTCTCTATGATGCAAATGTGAGGATGTTGGGCTAGAAGTTTATCAGAGAGATGTTGAATGTCTTCAGGTGTTGACTTCCAAGATTTGGACGGCTTCCCCCCACCAGCGCCCCCGCTAGAACGTTTTTTTGGAGCCATCACCTAAGAAGATCTCGTGTGCACACGGACCCGAAAAGCAGCAGTTTGAATTCAACCGCAGCTCGGCATGGTGAGTAAAGCTTAACATAACAACAGTGATACACAAAGTCTGTCTGCCAAAAGTATTGCAGCATATTGCAGCCAAAAGTCCCAACGCCAACTAGTATGGGCCAACCTGGCATCAACAGTAAACAACAACAGTAGATACACAAACATGCCCAGATTGTGTGTTCGCACACTTTTTCTCACGTGGTGTGTCGCCTGATTGGCGCCTAGGGGCTAGCTGGAAACAAGGCCTTGACTTCTTTGACCTATGGCCCTTGGCCAAACCCTTGTAAACATTATGGCACCACTATCACCTGGTTGGCGCTGCAGCCAATAATGCCCAGAAGCTCATAATGTTGTTAGTCCGTACGAGGATCAAGCTAACGTCCACCAGTTTGTGACGGGTGTGTACACATAGGATTTGGTCACGGATCTGCCAAACACAACATTTTGTGACGGATGGCACCTCGACACCTACCATTTTGTGACGGATGGCACCTCGACACATACCATTTTGTGACGGATGGCGCCTCGACGCATACCAGTTTGTGACGGATGGCACCTCGATGCATACCCTTTTGTGACGGATGGCACCTCGATACACACCTTTTTGTGACGGATAGCGTCACCATCCTTCACAAAATCACGGTGCAGATGTTTGTTGGGGTGGCGAGCAGGGATCATGCTATCCATATCTTAGATCAATAATGGTGTCAGCACCCCAAAAGAACCACACTCCCCAACCAATCCCAACAAACTCGCTTATTAAATTACATAAGTTCAGGCCTACACTGCTGCGTTTGCAAAGGTTCAATCCTTCACAATGACCTGCCTCCAGCCAAGCCTGCTTGTTGTGCCGGATGGCGTCCCCATCCTTCACATACTCTAGCGCCCAGGCGGGCAGTGGCTGTTGTTTCAACAGCCATAACCCCAACAACATAATTTCATCAGCCCAGCCCTAGGGGTTTGTGCCGGATAGCGTCCCCATCCTTCACAAAATGCAACCTCTCCCTACATCTCGGCTTTGTGCTGATCCTAGCGTTCACATTCCTTGGGCTGAGCTGACCACACCCCAACTTGTGTGAGACACCCCAATGACGCAACATCTGTGAGGGTTATCCCTCCAGCTCACCAAACCACAGCTCAAACAATAGGTCTGGCAAAATATTGAGTTAATTAATTCATCGACCAAAAATGCCAACTACCTGCGACAAACCGTGCGCCGTAAAAAAGAGCAGCAACAACAACAATTCACAACTTGTCCTGAATGAAGACCTATCACTTCACATGTTCATATATTTGGGGGCAAGCTTGCTCACAAACCCAGACCTACACCTCCACATGAGCTCCAATCTGAGCTGCAGCCATGTACGCATCATGCGCTATGGAATGAGCCTCTTGCCACGACACACCGTGTGCCCAAATCGATGCTGCAGCACCATCAATGACGGCACTGGCATGAGCGGATCGGAAACGTGCCAATTCAGCACGCGGCAAAGGATTCACGGCGAGCATCCTGGCTGGCGTTGGTACCTGCAAATCACACGAAGCAGCGTGAACGAATGTCAAACCTCTTTGTAGGGCACCGGTCTATAATCAGTGACTTGGTTCATCCCAGTCAAGTCTTGGGCAGGCCCAACAGACGGGCCAAGCGATGGCAAAGACCTTCGCATTTTCCAAAAAGAACTCAAGCTGACTCCAGCCGGCAAGAATGCTAAAACACCACCGGACCACAAAGTGTGCACTTGAGTTTCAGGCCAATCAACTTTCAGCAATGGGCTGACCTCCCACTGACCACGAGCCCATCGTTCCAAGCAATCAGCCGCTCTACCCATGTTGAAAGGAGGGTTTCCTGGGAACAACGAGATAATATGAAACAAATGACTCAAGGTCACTCAAGACACACATCACTTAAATTCCAAAGCTGAGAGTCGCATAATTTGTGCATACTTGACCATATCATCGCAGTTTGAAACCGCTTGTGCCAGCTCATTGGGCGCAACTGGCAAAAAGCTACCAGGGTTAACAAGTCAGCCAACAAAAAACCTGTGGAATCAATCCAAGGTGGGTGAAGTGTGACAAGCCGGCCTGGGACTGTCATGCCACGAGATTGATCACCCACAGAGGCTGGAAGGTACAGCAAACACTCAGGCTTGAAGGTAGCGTCTGAGAGAAACTGCTTGGTCCTGCGGGTAATCAAGTGGGTAATCACAAACATGTCTAAACAAACTCTTTAAGTAAACAAATGTCCTCAACACAACATCGCGATGACCAAAAGGCACACCTCGACGACGCCAAAATTTGGTGTCCAGTGAAGGATGTCCAATGGCGAGGCCTGGGTGCATGTTGTGATGTCCAGTGTTAAGTTACATGTTGCGCATGTTTGTTGTCCAACGTTGAGACAAGCTATGCAAATGCTGTGACAGCCGCCAGTATACCATCATTGTGAATGAACATGGGTTGAACATTATCCCACCTAAGTCTTCAAGCCTGTCCAGCGCCCAAACATGGGCAGATCCGCTTCCTCCGATTCCAGTGATTGTGTTGCCACGTTGGGTGTGATGAAGAAATGTCTTCCTGAAAGAATCACTTTCATAGTGTCGTTACAACCAGGTAAGTTTGAAGGCTTGTCAACCATGAACCAACCGAACAATACAAGACTGAATCATCATCGCCTAGATTCCAGTCACGAACTTGGTCCACCATAGCCACCTGGAAGTGAGGTTCGTTTGGTCTGACATCACCACGGGCAAGGTAAGCGGACAAAGCGTCGATGTAATCGAAGGGAGTGTGCTGACAATCCTGCTCCAACAGCTTGGCAAAGTTTGCAAACAGAGAATCAATGTCCTCGTGCGTGTGCCCTGTTTGCAACGTGCGGATTTCCGCGCGTCTCAACTTTCCGTGGCATACGAGCATGGACACGTACCTGATCAGGGCATTGTTCTTGATCTCCTTCGGTCCATTGTCTCCCTGGATCAGGAGCTCTGATCCGCGGACATCAACATTGCGCTCCCTGAGCCTTTCCAACATTCTGGCTATCAGCTCAATGGAGCGGGAACTGTCAGAATGAACACCTGGCACGGAAAGGTGAACCATAGTATCATGCCCATGGCAAATGATCGCTGTAGCCGTGAGTTTCGGGCGGATCATCCGGGCGAACTCCTTGGCCGCGAGGCACGGCGCTCGCGGCCAAACAAATTTGGCAGCGTCCATCGAGTCGACAATGCATACGATGGTGCCCGGCGTAGAGGAAGCTGAGAGGCTTCGAGAAAGAGAGCGTGAGTGCCAGTAACAAGTCCGGTCCAAGTACTGCTTTTGCCTGTGTTCATCAAGAAGCCTGAGCTGCTCTGCTCTTGCCGCGGTGCATCTGGCCAGCTTGCGCACCATGAGTTTGAAACGTATGCAGACAGAGCATTTTGTGTGCTGGTTCTTGCCACGAATCTTCAACACATCACCGAAGTGAAGCTCCCACACCTAAGGACCAAAAGGTAAACACAAACTGTTACACTGTTTAGAGCAACTTAGTCAACAGTTGGCTGTAAACAAGTTTTGAGTGTGACATAGTGTTACTGTGTTACTGCTCTGTTGTGTGGACCAGTATTTGTTGTTGATGCGTTGGTGCGTGTAACATGTTGTAGCTGCATGCACTGAGGCTGCAGCTGTGGTGAAGAGCTTGTAACTGCACTTTAGACCAGGATGCTTTCTCCGTAGCATGGCCAAATATTCACAGAACGACCCAGGTGGCAGCGCCTTCTCTACCATGCCCGTAGCCCTTTGAAGGATCTTGTCATCACGCTTCTTGATGAGTCGTGGCCGCTTTGAGCAGCACCTCGACTCCGGCATAGGCTCGGCGAGTGTCGTGTGAAGTTCATGTAGAAAGTCATGAACTATTTGCCTCTTGTCCGTCCAAGCAGTGAACTCGCGAGTTGAGTAGCGTAAATCCAATGGGCAATCTATGTCTCCATTTCTCACGGCTGTACTAAGACGAGTGAACCTGTCTGAACCCAATCGCAGTAATCTTTTGTAAGCCTGCTGACACACGGGATAACCCAGGACTTGCAAAGTGTCTGCACGATGCCCCCGGTGTGCTGCTTGCAGGTCTGCAAAGACCTGTCATTCATGAATCAAACATTCAACATTTTACTGGTGACACCTGACTGAGCAAAGCAACCATGCCAAGTTCATGTGTCAAACATTAGTCCAACAATGTTTCCTGCGAACCACAGCAACCTGCAATGCCTGGCCTCCTTGTCAAATTCCATTTTGTCTATTTTTCTCATCCGTCGAATGTGAGCCACAAGGCGTTCAAAGTCATCGCGCTCTCGGAAGGGTCTGAAGCAATTGCTGGCTTTTGAAGCCAGTCCACAACGGCAAACGCTCTGAACGGTAGCACGGGTCTTGGCTGCAAGGGTAGAAAGGAACTCATCTTTCGGACGGGTACCAACTCCTGAAAGCTTCAATCTCTTGCAAGGTGGTTCATGCTTGTCTGCACTGAGCTCACTTCCACAACGTTGCAACGGTACACGGGCTGGTGTAGTGTGATCACCATCGTCGTCAGAAAGGTCCGTGACTGGTTGCAACATGACTGCTACAAAGTGGCTACAAAACAATGCATGAGGTTGGCAAGCCCAACTCATTACATCTCACGTGATTTCAAACGGGTTGATCATGGCACCAACTGTTTGACATGAAGCACGCGATCAAGATAATGTGCAACCTTTTCCACCACGGCCTTGCTTGCTAAAAGAACATGCTGGCACAATGGTTAATTGAATTTCCAGTCTAATTATCCTCAACACATCCGGTCCCAACGACTGGTTAAGCTTGAGGTCATGGCTGCCAATCTGTACACAATGTGAATGGAGCTGGACTCCTCTAGCTCGCTCTCTTGAAGCATTGCCCAAACCTGACCGGCAGAATGCGCTGGTAGCAATGTAACCAACAAATGTAATATGGCCTTGTTCAAACACGCTTTGGATTGAGCTGCTTGCAGCTTTGCCATTTTTGCCCGCTTGATCTAAGTGAACATTCTATCAACATAATTGGGCGAAAGCTGAACTGACTTCCATTGACATGAAGCTCTAAGACCAAAACCAATCGTTCTTGTTGCACTTCATCATTTTCCTTCAATACCGAACACACAAAGTTGCCCAGCACAGGGACTTGCCTAATTTCAACCATGAAATGCCAATTAGCTACAATGGCAATGAAACAAGGGCTCCCCACCTCCAAAGCACGCTTGCGCCTCAGCAACACACATGGATACATGGTGTTTATCACAAGTAGCCAACCAGAACCACATGTTGAATGCTGTGTACCCACTTGCAGTTCAGTCATGACACTCAATAGCCGCGTCAATGCTTTTGATGTATGGGTGATCAGGATCCTGTCAACAAAACAAAACACATGACATGTTGAAGTTCAAGAACTCTGCTGAGAGGACAGCCTTCTCCAGCCGCCAGAAGGAGTCCTCGGCCAGCGCGATGTGAAGGGCTCAGGGGTGAGTGCACTTGAAGAGTTCAGCAGAACATGTTATAGGATTCAAGTACCACGCGTTGATCAGCAAAGACTTTTATGCATTGACTTGCCGCTGTGAAGTATATAGCAGTAGCTCAAGATTGGACACATCTTGGCTAGGAGCACAACACACACTACCTGTAGGAGGCGGAGGCTCTATTCCCTCCGTGTTTCCAGCTATCCTGGCAACGGTCACACTTGTGGTGCCTGTGTTTCAAAAAGTTGCGCGTGCCATGGCGGATCATGCGTTCGATACGGGTACATGGTTGCCCACAGTCGCAGGTCATAGGGCAAGTTGGCGAAGGCGCTTTCTCCTCTGGCACTGGAGGCGGCTGAGGAAGACCTGCTTCTGAGATTTGTTTGCGCGCGTCAGCACGCCGAGCTGCTTTCGCCAATTTTTCCACTGTTTTCTGTGTTGATGTGGCAGCAGCATCTTTGGAGTCATCTTTGGCAGGCGTGTTCATAGGCGGACATGGCGCTGGTGCTGGCATAGTCTCTGGCATATGCTTTTCTGTTGACTCTTCCTCTGCCACCTCTTGATCTTGTTCATTCATAGGTTGCAGCGACGCTGGCATAGGCTTTGGTGCTGGCACTTTTTTTCTCCTTGCCGCCTGTTCATGTTCTGCTGGCTCATTCTTCATAGGCGGCGGTGGCAGTGTAACATCTTGCGTTGACACATTCTCTTCTTTTTCTTCTTCTTCTTCTTCTTCTTCTTCTTCTTTCGGTTCTTCATTCGATTCTTCAAATTGCGCTGTCAGTTCAGCAGCCCAAGCCTCCGCCTGTGCTTGCTGCACATACTCAGCGGCTGCATCTTCATACCGCTTCTGTGCTACTTCAAGCTCTCGGCGGCGCTCTTCCACCACAGCATACAAATCACTGGCGGACTTCATTTTGTTTGTGCATTTGGTCACCATGGCTTGTTAGATTATGGCACCCTCCTATATAGTCCCGTTTTTGAGCCAGCCACACCTAACAACATGCCAAAACACTGACACATGTTTTCTTGAACTTCCAGTTCATGTTGACCATCAAACGTTGCATCAACCAAACCCTGCGGTAAGACTCAACACTGCTGAGATGGGCTGAGGCATTCACGGGCGAGTTCTCCACTGGGCATTGCTGGCTGGCCATCTTGGAGAATCCTAGGCCGCATTTCAACATCAACAACAACATCATGGACTTGCCAGTTGTGTTGTCACTGCTCAACTGCCACCATGTGTGTTTGATGATTCCAGTCAGTGTTGCACACAGATTTGAAGGCTTTGTTTCAGTGTTGTGATCCAGGGCCCTGACACGGGTCAGCGATCAATCAGATTTGGCGACGCGAGCGAACACTCAAAAGGCAACGGTCCAACACAGCAAACGTCAAGTAACATGCCAACATTGTTGCAAGAAGCCGGGTGAGAAGTAAGAATAACAAACAAGCCAGGCTTACCAAATGGCACTTTGCCACCGCGGCCAAGAGATTGGAAGCAAAATGCTAATCAGGCCACACTGCATACAAGAGCTACCAAAAGACATTAGAAGGAAGCTCATGTGTTGCAACCATGCCATGCATGTGATACAACTCAAAACTCATTCCGTGTTTGCTCAAAGAACGCTTGTTGCGCTGTCACTCAACAATTTTCTCTTTCCAGCTGAGGCTACCACCGCTTTCTGGACTGATGGGCCACGTTCACTAATTAACATCAAATTCCAATCTTGCAAGCATGATGAACGGGCTTGATCAAATTAAGAACTGAAAGCTGTCAAAATCTAGCCGGAATCAGCCAGACACAACACGTGGGCAGCAAAGTTAGCTACAGCTGGCATGACGATGTTGCCGAGCGCAGTGAGGCGCAGTCGCTCATCCTCCACCAGCTCGTGTTGCAGCCATGCATGCACCTTTGGTGCCGTTTGAGGGCCCCACGGTTTGGTGGGGTACTCCCGCAGCTCTTCCACAGTCATCAAATTGGAAGGTACCTGCCCAGAACGCACACACACACACACACCAACACCTAGACATAGGCACAACAAGCCATCAAAGCTCAAACCATGACTGTCACCAAAACAAACATTCACACAAACCTTGCCGAAGACAAAGTTGGGCTTGGTAGCTAAGATGAACACCCTCTTGCGCCAAACCTTGGTCACCCATGTATGTTTAGAGTTGCGATGATGAGTTGACTGAGTGCCCAACTGGTGCGCCCACGTTGTGTCCAGTGACACTCAACCAACGCACCACAAAGCCTCTGCTGGTCAATTCCTGCCGGCGCGATGGACCGTGTTGTTATTGCTTTGTTTGTTTGTTTGTTGTTTGTTGTGATAAAAAAACTATCTATGCTGACCATCAATGTATCCTGCAAAATGTGCTCCATGAAAGGTTGCATGTCTGCTGACAGGAGATGATGCACATTCTCCAGCCATAACCACAACCTGGGCTCATCTTTCAACCCAAAAAGTTAAGTAACAGTTGAACCATGTTGAACCACACCCACTGCTTGCATGCTGTGAACGGATTCTCGAGCATGTCAACCTGCTGCCATACACACCGCACCAGGCCGGATCTTGCGTCGTTCAATCCTTCCTGGAGCCCTGCTTTGCAAATGCCCTGAGTTTGCAAAACAGCGCACGCAAATTTGTCTAGATTCTTGTTCATTGCTATTATGTAGATGGTTGTTTTACAAAGCAAGTCCAAGTGTCTTGGCAGGGGAAACCAGCACAGATTCCTGCGCTGGCCTTTCTCATGGAGGCTGTTGGTTTAAAGGTGGTCAGATCCTCATAGATAGGTGCTGGGTGGATAAGCCCTTGCTCAATCCGCTTGCTGATGACTGAGCGACAGAAGCTGTTGCACTCGACCTGGGGGCTGTCTTAAATGTCTTAATGTAACATAAAATTGACAAGTTGGCTCAACGTTTACATAATGGTAGCCAAGAAGGTGTGCTAACCTGAGGGCCCAACATAACATTGTGGCACAACAAACCTCAAAAAATATAGACTTCATGATTCACCACAATAAAATGTTTGGCGTCACTGTTCATTTCACACCAATATCTTATTCTATGAAATAAAATAAACATACAGTAACAACATTGAGCCCCGAACGCAGAGAGGCCCAGCTCTAGGCCGCAAATGCCGCTGAAAAAGCTCATGCATTTGTGCTTAGCGACCTCATGCTCCAAACCACAAGTATCTGCAAGTACTCCAAGTCAAGGAACAACAAACTTGCTGAACAACCCATGACTGTTGATGAGCAAACATAACATGTGAGTTGTTTTGCTTGCTGAAAGTCTAAGAGAGTGACAGGCTTGTCCACCCAAGGGCACACACGGGATACCTGCTTTTGAGTGACCAAGGCGTCTGGTGAGCTCCAACCCTCTGGTAGGCCTGCAAGCAAACAGCTTGCCACCAGGTGTTGCACTACAAAACAGCTGCCTGATAAATGTTCGGCAAACGGAAGAGCCAGGTACTTGCCCTTCTTCTGGTTCATTTGCTTGCAAGAAAGGGTATATGGTTTGCTGTGCCATATTTGCGTCGCTAGATCCTGCCACAACCAACAGTGGATTCAAATCCAAGAAAAACACAGTTTCATTTGTCCTGCTTCCCCCTGACTGATAAGTAGGCACTGTTGGCAGTGTACGTCGCTGAAAAGCATCCTCAACGTGCGCCAAAAAGTAAATTGCTATCATGAGTGCTATCATGACATGTTCAGCTCAGGCCCCAACTCAAGCAACCCAGTGATTGAAGTGTCACTTTGCCCTTGATCAGCTTGACTCCCGCATCTTCCTCCTTTGCCTTCTTTGGTGGAACCTGGGCCACAATGGCTCCATTAAGCGTGCTGCCCCACCTGCAAAATGTTTTCCAAAGTTGTCGCTGCCGCGCAAGTTGCTTGCTTGCTTGGTTGTTTGTTTGTTTGTTTGTTGGGTTGGGTGGTTGGAGTGCTGGAGTATTGGCTGATGCTGCATGAGTCTGTCGGTGTTGAACAAAAATTGAGCACAGGCGTGTTGCTTTGTATGTTGGTTTGTGCTGTTAATGCTGCCAATTTGTGTTACTACTTAATACTACTTACATGTGTGTGTGTGTGCAAGTTGTCTCAAACCAGTTGCAGGTTCAAGCCGGGATACCAGTTCCAAGTCTAGCTTGGTTCTCGGGCTTTGGGGAAAACAGCATGGCTTCCAAGAGCTCACCACACCGTTTGCACAATGCCCATGTCCAGGAGTACCGCGGGACATGCCTTCCAGCAGCGGCTTCTCCATCTCACAACTGGGCACATATCGGCAGAAAGAGATTTGTCCACAAAACAACATCATTGAGTCATTGAGCAACCCAGTCTTGCACACATACACAGATATTGAGAGCCAAACTCGCTTAAAGAATCCACTGGTGCCAGGGGCATCACAATGTTTTGACCAAGAACACGGCTCCGGAGCTGCAAGCGAAATGCTAGCACATGTCATATTACTACCACAATATGCACTGACATATATGTTGGTCCACTACTGCTGCTGCTACTGCTGCTGCTTTTGCTAATACTATTATCTTCCAAGTTGCTTTCAAATCCTGAACCCTGGTTACAATCCTGAACCCTGATTAGCTGGAAAAAATTTTTTAATACTTGATATTATTTTGTGATCACTAAATTCCCTACTTAAACTTGTCAAAGGGAAAGACACGGCAATCGATAGGAACATTCCCGCCCAAAAAAGCCATGTTATCAGTTATCACTTCCCTTCAAGGCATGTTACCCAGATTCACTCAGCCTAATCAAAGACTCCCCAGATGGAACAGCACCCGTCCGAACATCGCCTCAACCAAGCAGAAGCCAAACGAGCAAAACTTGGCCAAATCGCCTCGGATCAGCCCAAAGCAGCAGCCGAAACTGACCAGACACTCCATTTTGTATATTTTGTCTGAGTCTGACCGGTCTACCAGGCCCCCAAAAAACCTAAAGACATAAGAGCTGTTCCTTCCAAGACCGGCTTCATTCTCACGACCGTCGACCGTGACCGGCGCAAAACCCGTCGTTCTGATCCACCGCCGGGCGCGGCCGCGATGGATTCCGATGAAGAAGAGATGCGCGCGATGCGCTCCTCCAACCGGTGCCCCCCCCACCGACGTCACCTCGACCTCGACCGGTCGTTACTCGGTGCCGGGGGTTTTATCGGTTTGGAGCCTGGTGAGCCGGGGGAGGTGTGGACGAGGTGGAAGCTGGGCACATGTGGCTGGATGAGTGGCCACTTCTTGGAAGGTGTGGTGATTTTGTGTGAGACTACGAAGGCATTCTACTAGTAACAAGTGCATGGTTATTAGGAACATGCAGGTGCATTGCTACTAGTAGCTAGAAGCTCTTTACAGGTGTAATGATCCTAGATCCTATAGATTATGATCCCTGGGAGTTCAAATGACTCATATTATCCTTATGGGTTGTGGAAGGTTGTGACTTCCAGGCTGGGTAGAATGTGTCATTGCAATTTTGGGAAGTTCTGGGGATGCAAAGACGCCCCCCTGTGTCAGAATGGGCCATGCTAGTGCCGCAGGAAACGTACTGTGTTTTGAGCCATCGTTTTGACAAACAATCGCCCCGCCACCGCATCGACCTACATTGTGTGGCAGAAAATGCCCAGCGTAAATCCCTCAAACAAGAAGATTTGACCTTCGAACTGCCGAGAAGAGGTACACGGGCAGCAATCGGAAGCCGCCTCCAGCGCCGAAGGAGGAGTTGGACAAGGGCAGAGACCGAGAGTTGGAGGGAGATCAGTTTCCCTAGGGCTCCAAGTACCTCCTCATAAGGTATTTGGACCCTCAGAACCCACCCCAAACACCTTCTGAGGAAGTACTTGGAGCCCTAGGGTTTGTAATGTAGACTCTTGATTAATACTTCCCTCCAATTGAATTGGAATTCCTCTTCATATGGGGGATTTATACTAATCAAGGGTCTACATGAAGTGGTGCCAGTACCATTGGGGGGGGACCGGAGACAGCGAGAAACATCGGAGGACGACCGGCGATCGACGAAACCGGTGATCTACTTCGATCGATTCTTGGAGAAACGCCATCGGACAAAAGATCGGCGCCAGATGTCCCAGACCCAGGTCATTGCAACAGGAAGGGAAGATCTACAGCCATTCCCAGACACGACACATGGGACTGCCACACGACTGCCTTCAAAACGGCCAGGGGTGGTGCCAGAGGGGTCAATTGATCGGCATATATATGGCAGTCCCATTGGTCGTGTTTGGGATTGGTTCCTGGGGAGTCCAAAGCCTAGTTTCCTGTGAGTCACTCCGTGAAAACCATTGACAAGTCGAACATGCTGGGGGTCCCCGATGCCTCGGCTCCCATCAGCGTGTCAGCACTCGCCCTCCGCCAGGACGCGCCGAGCAGCGCCGGTCCACGGACGGGTCCAATCGCAGGTGGGCCGAAAGGACGGGACCCTACAGACACCCGGGGGAGTCTGTGGCCCCTAAGACTAAGACCCTACCTAAACCATTATCATCCTTTGGGCCCTGGAAATGGCATGTGCCCAAGTTGCCCAACCTCTATGCCACAAAACCATCAAGAAGCTACTAGTAGCTCCTGGAAATCTGTCCAATCTTTTGGCAGGTGCCTCAGGAGAGGACTCGGATCAAGAGATGGCAGTGGAGGAGATGAGCGAGCTCAAAGGCTTCAACATGCCCTTGCACCTTGCCATCGCTTGGTCGTCTCCAAAACGGGGGGGCACCGAGGTCGGCCGAGTGTCGCCTGTCGTCTCGGTTGGGGGAAAATCGGTGAGAGGCCCTCTGGAGCAGCAGGATTTGATGAGGATCTGAAGCACCCAGAAAAGAATGTAGGAGATGTTAACAGACAGGCTTCTGGGTGCAGTGCGTTCTTTGAGGGTACACAGGAGACAAACCAGATTGTTCCACCTTTTGATGGGAACCATCTTGGCTGTCGTTTGTTTTATTCTCGACCTTCACGAGTTAAGAGGAGGTCTATGGCTCATGAAGGTATTTAGCCCTTGTGTGCGTTTCTTTGAGGAATGTTTCTTGCATTGTGCATTTGGCATTGTCATGAAAAAAGCAGAGTTCAAAGGGAATCAAAGGCATGCAAGCTCTAACATATTCGTAACGATAATAATGGATTCTTGACGTTGGTTTTGGCGGAGATGTTGCAGGATCTTGTTGGGATTGGGATGGATTGGGTGGATAGATGGGACACATAGAGTGATTTCAAAAGGAAGTAGTGCGTCCAAAAGAGAGTCACCTTCAGCCTTGACACACCCAGAGTAGCGAAGCGCCCCGAACCAGCCCTGAGCTTGAGGTCTTGTGACGGGTTTTCAGACCAGCAGAGGTGGGTCAGAACCCGAACGTTCGACTATCCTAGTTCTGTACCCCAGGTTACGGGTCCTAGTTCAGGTCACTGGCTACCTCTGTAGATTCTGTAGGGTGTCTCGAGTTCAACTCCCGTGTTTGAACCCGGACCGAGCGCAGATGAAGCACCCAGCGCAGATGAAGCACCCAGCGGTGAAAACCGTTCTTTCTGTGGTTCTGAGTTGAGTTCCGGTTGGGGGGCCAATCTCCATGACCACAAGGATCGCAGCTATTGGCTGTTAGACTTGGTGAACTGATTTCAGATGCTTCACGCGATCCTTCAGTACCGATCAAGGATCTGGTTTGCCTCAGTGGTTTTTTATGTATCTTTCTACCGCGTACGTGGGCCACGCTGCTATCGCAAGGTCCTTTGGCAAGCAGAAACCCATCCGAAACGCCGGGGGCACTCGGATGGATGTAGAGGTGGGTGATGGAGACAGAAACGCAAAGTTACTAATAGCTTCTAGCTTATACCTAGATCCTCGAGTTGCTCAAAATTTTAGGCGTTTCCGAAAGAGCAGAAATAATTGGCGTTTCAAAATGAAACTGCCGTTGTCTCAAAAAAATGTCGTTTCATCATTCAGGCACTTGTGAGATGCCCCCTGGCTCAAGGATACACAAAACATGGCCTCAACATAGAAGAGGTACAAGCAACATAGACATTGACAGATCAAGTCATGGTTCTTCAGAACCTTGAAGGGTTGCAACATCAAGTCAGCAAACAAACAGCCCACACTTCCCACGCTCCTTTTTACAGCGGTCATGGACGATCACTCAATGACCATCATGTCCGGTGCCTCAAGTGTTGTTACCGGAGTTTTCTTTGGCTGTTTTGCTTTCCATCTTCTATGAAGCGCTTTCGACTTTACTAGATAGAGCTCCAGTGCTCTTGAAGATGCCCTTCGTGCCGAAACTCTTCTCAGCAGCCTGCTGAGACGACCTACAATGTCTTCGTTGCTTTCACATCCATACATTTGGGGGTTTCGAACCCACACCACATTTTTGTCTTGAAGCAAGTAACGGATCTCCACCTTTTCATGACACAAAAGGTGGAACTTGGCTGTCAGCGCAAACCCCGTGTACTGGCATTGGTGCTGCGATAAAAAGGCACATCCGTTATAGTGTCGAACAAACAAATGCATCTGTTTGTACAGGTACGCACCACACTCTTTGTTGAGCCACAGGTTGTGGCTGTAGCAAACTCGTTGAAACTCTCGAGCTGCTGAGGCTGCAGCCATCATTTGTTTGAGAACTGGCAAATGTTCAGCTTTCAAAGGTGCATTCACAAAGCCGACCAACATAGTATGGATCCATGCTAGCACATGGGCCGTGTCACTGCCCTTGCAGTTGATCCACCCAAAAGAGTTCCAGGTGGGGCTGTTGAAGAAAGACAATGAAAAACTCCTCAACGCTGGAATACGCCTTGTTGTCTCGCAGAACAGCCTGAAGTGTGAGTAAGCCCGGTTCAACAAAGTGTCCCGGGCATTGCTTTGCCCACTGAGGTCAAAGTAGTGCAACTTTGCCAACAACAGGATGCACGAAGCTGCAAAGTATCTAAAGACACCTTGCTTAGTGTTGTGAAAGAGGTCCCGCCTCAAGAAACGCTCATGGGGGACATCCACAACATCAACATCATTGGGAGGTTGATGCTCAAAAGGGACATGAAGCAGCACTGGCCGAACAGTATACGGTCGTTTTGTGTAGGATGTCCTCTCCCACAGTGGGTAGTGACTGGAATCCTCGAATGGCATGGCAGCAGTGCCAGCACAGCATTCGTGGCACATTTCTTTATGGATTGAGGTCTGCGAACCAAAACAACGCTGTAGCTGCCCCAGCTTTTGAACCCACTTGAGGTCTCCCTTCGCCCCAGTACATGCAGCATACCACTGGCGCCCGTCAACTGTAATGCCACCAGTGAACAGGTCATTAAAGTCCTGTACCGTTGCAAGCAAGATAGCATCTAGCAAAGCCGGTTCTTTTCTGGGCAAAGCTGCAACCACAAATTTGGTAAGGAAGCAGTGTTCCTTCAAATTTGTCATTTGAAATCCAGCAGGATCAGTGGTTGAACCCTGCCCACTGTCATCAAACCGCATTCTTTTCCTGAATGGCTCATCAGCGCTGCAGCGACCACAGGCTGAAGCATGCTTGTTGTTGACCACATTGGACCACGTTCCAAGACCCAAGACCGTCTCGAACATAAGCAGGGTTGTGTTCGATTTTCGAAGCCCACGACCCTCATCACCATGGATTGCTAAAGCAAATGTGTTTGATAATGTTCGTTCAGGGTGCGACTCTTTGAACAGCCTGTGGGTGGGATGAGTGTGGTAGTACGCCCTCCAGAACGATTCAAGTTGACGCTGGCCATCATCTAGAGGGCAACCTCCCATCAAAAGTTCCGGTGCCTTTGAAATCAGAAATTTCAAAAAGTCGGATGGTTTGATGAACGCATACTTCACCTGCTCACCATCAATCTCCACATCGACAAAGCTCAAAGGCACCTTCCACGCCAACCCCCATTTCTTTATAAAAGCATGAGCATCACGGCTCGCATTTTTTTTGGAGCGTTCACCACTGAGGCCTGGTTCTGCCTCCACCCTTGCCGTCGTGGCAAAGTGATGGAGCGTTGCCGCAGGAGCCTCAACAGCCGTTGGATGTTCTGCGCAGGACTGGTACAGTAAGGTTGTCTCATGTTTGAAGGAGGCAAGAGAGTTTCAATGTGCAGTAGGTCTATACTGGAATGTGGGATGGTGGAAATCATGACTTGAGGTCAGAACCCCATCAGCTAGAACTTCCACATAGTTGTAGGCGGAAGCACCGGGGCCAGGTTGTTCATTGGCGTTGACACCTGGCATGCTTATCAATCACGAAGGTGAAAGGGATAGATGTTGTAAGTTGCCACTGGACGGCTCCAAAAGAAAAATCAAAGTTGAACCACATTCCAACGCATAGGTCCAAAAACTGAAACAAACTTTTTGCCCCAAGTGCCACTTGTCATGATGCACGATGTGCATCGCGACCCCATGCCACCTCCCATTGAACAGAAACAACAAGATTCCATAACGCAGCAAGGTTTTGAAGAATCACTGGTTCGATGGCTGAAGATTTGGGCGGCTAAGGTCCATACCCCTAAAGCAGCTTCTAACAAATTGACTTTCGCCAAAACCCAATGGAAAGCGTCACGCTTGGTTCCAGCGTGGAGAGATCCAGGTCATGGGCAGAAAGTAGAAGATTGAAAATCTACTTTCGTTGCCTCTTGGGAGGTGGAGTCTTTTCCTCCTGTTTCGCCTTCCCCTTGGCTTTAGCCTTGGCTTCCTTTGGTGCCCGTTTGGGCGCAGCTTTTGCCTTCTGCTCAGCACGCACTGCCTTTGGAATGAATGGCCTGGCCGGCGGGTGACCCACAGACTATAACTTAATAGTTGAGATTAATGCAGTACCATGCAATACCAATACTTGAGCAGTGCACTGCAACTCATGTTTCTTTTGCTTTATGGGTCGCCTTGCTCTGGATTCGAGGGCCAATGATTCCGCTGCTCTGACGCAAGATCCCAGATCCCAAATTGAATTCTGGACTTGTGAGATTGAATATCCAAAAGTCAAAACTCATTGCATTCGATCACCAAGTTGGGCCTTCCAGACGCTTTCTGAATCAAGGATTTCAAGGAATTTTCTTCCCTGAAGGGTCAACAAAGCAATGGTACAGCACTTCTTTGTAAAGCACTTGCAAGGTTGCTTTGCAAAATGTTGATCCAAGAAACTCTTTTTTGAAGCCCTGGACAACACCATTTGAGTAAGCCGTGGCGAGTTCCTGATGCACCTCCTCCAGCGAGGTCACAGAAGCTTGAAGAGCTGCGCTGAGCCTCAGCACAGGTGATCCATGGGTATGGGAAGTCCAATGGGAAGAGACGTTTGTATGTGGTTTGCTTGGTAGACACTCAGTGTGCATGCCGAAAACCGCTTCTGGACATCAGTGAGATCTTTCACCTCCGCAAACTTGGTCTTGGATTTCGCTACTTGACCCATGCGTTTGGCAATGGCATTCCTTGGCATCGTGGGCAAGGGGGCAGCGAGCAATAGTGAGTGTACCCAACCATTTTGACCCGTTTGTGTTTGCGACCTGCCCTCATACAAGCAATGGCAAGTGTCAGGTACTTGTCGATCAAACTACTGGGCAAAGCATCCGGGTCCATCTCAGGAATTCCTAGTTTTTTCCTCAGCTTGGCCTCTTGGTCGCCCTCCTCATCATCAGATTTGGTGAGATCCTCGGCACCACCTGAAGCACAGTGCGCTGTTGCCTCCTCTAGGTAACCATCAATAACTTGACTCCCTCCAAGCTTTGGTCAGGTACACCAGCGTCACTAGAGGGATTAGAGCGTGTGCCTTCTGTCCTTTGATCGGTGATTCCTATCCTTTCAGGTTGGTGGCAATCCGGATTTATAAGCTCAACAGTTTTTGTCTCTGGACTTGTACTTTGTCTGTGCACATTGTATTTTCTCTATAAGTGATCACTTTAATTTGGTTGGACCCCAAAACATCGCCCCCAACCATCGCGTATATTGATCTTTTGGTGCGCCAGAAAAGCCCTAGTCATTGGCCTGCTCCAGCTTCGGCAGTGCCTGAAGCACCACCCGTAAGGCCCTCAGGTTCCAGGGACATATTCCCAATGCCCCTCTCATGGACACGAGCTCGCTTCTTGATCTCAACCCGGGATCGCTGCCTAAGCTAGGATCCACTCATCAACTCTGAAAACTTTGTGAAGCAAGATGCCATCAAAAGACATCATCAGGCGAGATACTTGTAGGTTCCCTTCACTGCCGTCTCTACATAGTAGAGAGTGACCTTTTGGTAGGTGTCCCTCCTGCAATGGAAAGGTTGCTGTGAAATCAAGTTGGATGAGATTGAAAAAGCATAAAGTCACGTCACTTTCAGGCGCAAGCAGAAAGACTTTTGAAGAAACTCTGCCGGGCGCCTCAGCAACTTGTGTGGCTGCGAGCGGCAGTGCTTCTTGATCGCTTCAATCCGCTGCCTCATGTGAGCAAGACTTGTTTAGGAACCTGGTTGTGGGGAACCGTTTCAGAGCCATATTCCAAGCAAAAAGGTAAACCATGGCGGCTTCGGAGACGAACTGCCCCTCGACCACAACTTCACACTCGGTCATTTCGCTCTTCAGGATTTCCACCTCACAGACAAAGGTTTCCTCAGCCGTCCATGCAAGGTACTTAGCGAAGAACCCGGAATTGATAGGGCCTGCCAGGTAATGTTTGAAATCATAGGTTTTAGGCTCCCACCCTTTTACAACCAAATCCAGGTAAAGCAAAGAAACAATTACTGTGTTTAGACATGTTTCGGGATCGTATCCGCATTGCCGGAAAATATCTTCAAGTAGCCGACGGGCCTTCCCTTTGCCCTTCCAATCGTTCCAGATCTCATCTGAAACTTTCTTGGACCCATCAGCTCGGGGGGTGAAGATTCTTTTGGCTCTACTGCGGATAGCTTCCGGGGACAGATGATGTTCTCCAACCCGGGGTTTCGGGGCGAAAGCATCGTGAATGTCTGGGATCATCGCCTCATCCTTAAATGGCTCAGGCTGAAACTCTGGAATAACTGGCTGTTCACGTTGGCTTCCATCATTGCAAGAAGTGGGGGACATGTCACGGCACTGCTTTCCTTGGCCTGGTGTCAATGAATCTGATACTCCCGGAGTATCAGCCACTGTTGAGGGAAGAGGACTGCTGCGTTCTTCGTGGGCAGGACCTGAAGATGGTTTGGCTAATGAAGCAGCAGCCATGCCACCCTTGGAACCAGCCCGGTTTGCAATCCATTCCTCATCACTATCACCCCAACCCTGCCCCAGAGATGCTGCTGGACTTGTGGTTGGAGAACCGCGTGGCCTTGCCAAGGCCTGGAATGCCTGCTGAGGAGAAGCCACTGCCATTAGATCACCAGGGATAGTCTCGGCTTCGGCAATCTGTGCTTCGAGCGCCTGGGATTGGGAATGGTTTTGGATACCGTATTGTTCCAACCCAAATGGATATAATTTGGGTCCATCCTATCAGTGGATGATGATGGTTAGTAAAGGCCTTGTTCAAAAATAGTTATAGTTTTGTTTACTGATTGTAATGGGACAAACCGACAAACCCTTATAATGTTTGATGGGTATAATCATTTTCGAAACAACAATCAACACAAAGTTTCGGACAGTAATTCAAATCACATACAGGGAACTGCCAGCTGTTTCTTCATGTCTTCTTCACTGAGGCTACTTGCCTGTAGTTGTTTGTAGTGTTTCTGAACCAAGTCATTCCCTGCCATGAGAGATGAGCAGGACCAACTTTGACTCAACAGGGGCACCATTGTCCTCAATGGCCTTTCCACGCTTCCACACTAAAACGGCTTCAGGAAATGAGACGCCAACACATTGTCACAACATAACAGTGGACTAGTGTACGATTGATTCATTCCCACACCAACGAATCAACCCCCAAAAGAACTTCCCATGAAGCATTGGTGCCAGCCTAGTGCAGCTGACAAAACGTTTGTTTGCACGTATCTTCAGGTCTGCATCCTACCAATTAAACCTCAAGCCCAGTGACTACTTGACACAAGGCTCAGCAAAGTGAATTACCAAGGCTACACCAAGGCCTTCCAAAGGGCTGCAGTTGCGATCCCAACATCAACAAAACCACTTGAAAATACGCGGTCGGCAAAAAGCGCCGTTTGGCCGGTAAAGAGCGCCGTTTGGCCGGCAAAAAGCGCCGCTGTTTTTTTGCATATTTTTGAGGTGAGTTGTCTTCTGACCATACATGTCCCTCCACAGCCCTTCAAAATACCATTCGGCTTTGTACAGGGTCAGTTCCCTCACCAATCATGTCAGGGAAGATTGCCCGGACTTCCGCCGGCAACCGAAGCTGCTTGACACCCCTGAGGTATTGCACCACTGGAGCCAACTCAGCTGGCCCCCACGAGGTGCACGGTGCAGCTGCAATCAGCGTGTGCACGGGCATGGTGGTGTCCACCTGGGCGGCCACGATTATGTACTGGCCTTCGTTTTTAGAAACGGTGATTGGATGGGGATGCACGCCAATTAGTTATGTTGTTCTTCTATATAGTGCCTTCGTTTGCAGACGTTACAAGAAAAACAAGATACAAATGACTATACACTACACTTGAGTAGAGGTTCCAGCAAACACCAGCGGCTGGGTTCATTCTGCATTGCTTTAGCAGCTTCGATCACTCGACGGGCAAATGGCGCAGGATAGGACCTTACTTCGACCACACCCAGAAACTGTTGAATGTTAAATGAACTGATTCTGATTGTTCCCGCTAGTCGCCTGTTTCTGATCCTACCAGTGTAGTGAATGCCAAATGGTACCAACACCAAAACGTTAGAAACCATCCCAGTGACTGAGTCCCTTTTAGCTCTGATGTCCCATGAAAGCGCGCTTTGCCAGAACCATCTACATATCGTTCAGTTGTTTTGACACTGGAGGGGTTCTTCCGCTTGCAAAGTCTCCCAGTCCAAAGCTTATTGACTGCAAGTCCATTGCTGAAGACCACGCTCCTCTTTGGAGATGTGCCACCCCAAAGCCTCATCCAGAAAGCTTCCTTGAAAACCTGGGTTGAAGGGAACAGCGAAGAGACAGCTGCTTGGCAGTGGGGTGACCAAAAGACACTAGGTCCGGATTCCCAGCAAAGCATTTGGGGTTGGTCAGGTCCACTTATACCCCTCTGCGTGGACAGCAACATCACCAAAAAGGCTATGTTTCTTTTTGCGTTAACCGTTAATCACCAATTCAAGGGGCTTTCAACCCGGCTTGTCTCAACATGTTGAAAGCTTCCTTGATGTAAATGTAATGGAAGAACAGAGAGGACCCGGGTTGCTCCACTAGAAAGTGACCATCCATGCATGCCACCAGAAGCAACAATTGTCCCAACCTTCAGGGGCACAAGACATGTCTAAAAGGCATCCATGTATCAGTCAGTACACCCTACCTACTGTTTTTCAAGTGAAATTTGACAACCCTGTCCTTGTAGCAAGTTTGTTGCTCTTACGGTTTTGCAAGCGTGTCGGGTCACCACCTGGACACAAGATGGTTCGTTTACTGGTGCCCGCATTGATGGCCACCCAAGTCGAGCAGGGTGGGGCCAGCACCACCACCACCTGTTGGAACGCAGCCTGCAACAGGAGGATCACCGATAGCCTTGGGAACGAGGCAGGGTAGCTGACATGGAATCCTGGAAGGGTGGGCGCCTGGGCGAGATTAGAAAAAGTGAAGGACTGAAGCAAAGTAGACAAAAAGACCATCAACGCTTGCATCAAGCAACGCAAATCCACATTCACCATTGAAATCCATTGGAGAACGTTTCGAGAAATGAGCTTTTGATTCGCTCCTCTTTTGAGGAACAGCTGCATGTACTATTTCAAAGGAAGCACAGGCAATCCCTGCTTTGCATGCGAGTTTTGAAATCCTTCCAGTCCCTGCAAAATACTCGATCATTTCCCATGGTTCTGATGCTTGAAGCGGCCCGCACACCAGATAGCTGCAAAGAAGGACAACCAGGATGAAATCCTTTGCTGGCGGAAACAACTCTTGTTTGTCAGGTTTGATGTCTCAGCCAACACGAGCCAACAGACCCTAAAATGCATTTTTTGGGGGTGGCCTTTTTTTGGCTCCAAATGTCTTCTGAACGATGGAAAAAGGACACCCCCCAAATTTGTTTCTTTTAGGGTCTGCTGGAGAAGTTGCTAGAACATGCCCAGTAGTTCATGACAAGCCTTGACTGATTAAGTCCTCATCTCCTACAAAGGTTGAAAGCTGAGAGTCCTTTGGTGCTCCAATGGCCACTAGACGGCGAAGAACCAAGGCCATTTCATCGGGCAGCATGGCCAGAATGCTAATCCGACCACCCAGTGGGGTTTGCAACTCACTTCACTGCTGCTAGAAAAAGGCTTCGGAAGACATCAGCCCAAATTCTATTCAGATTGAAATTGTAACTCCTTAGAACGGGTGTTTCAAACCGTGAGTGAACAAACCAGACCAACCACTCTCAGCTTTCCAAACGGGCAGGTGGCACCTATGCCCCTGCTTGCAAGGAAGAGTGGTCCGCGACTTGGCATAGGGCTTCGGAGTACCTGGAGCGGTGTGAAGAATCAGAGATGTTGAAATTTAATTCTCTGCTTGACACGTCATAGGGCCACGCTGGGTAACACACCTTTTTTCAATCCGTGCGCATGTCGAGTCCCTTTCCATTCACTTCCCATCCAAGCTATGTTCACACAGCTAAGTGTTTGATGGCAGCGGTGTCGGAATGGGATCGCCCCTAGCACCATAGGGAAACGGTTCACATGTCATAAGCAAATTCACTGGGAGGAAGTTGCACCATGCTTCAACTAGTTCAAAAGAAGTTTGAAGGACAGTCAGGAGGAGCCTCCAGCATCCCAACATCTAAGCCGCCACTCCAAGCAAAATTAAGAACGGTAGTCACTTTGGCATCAAAATGATATGCCATGAAGCTATCGATGCCACCCCCAAAAAGCCAAGCATGTCAGCTGTGGCTTGAGACATCCAGGCTCAGAGCTGAAGCAGCTTGTCGCCTAAACGACTGAGCATGCCCTGGTTCAAAGAAAAACACGACTATTGGGCTACCCCGCTACCCCAAACAACTGTTGAAGGGATATTGGGGGAAACATCAACAAGTGAAACTCTGATTGTATTGACAAGGTACGGACATCGTCGCGCTTCAGGAACTTAGGAACCTGAGCCCTTGCAAGGACCATGTACTGCTCCAGGGTCTGGATGGAGTCTTGCTTCAGATTCTGGAAGGCGAAGTTCCACCACTTGACCTGTATGGGAATCAGCAGCCAGGGCCAGTTTAGAATCATACAAACAAACATTGTTTGTTTGACACCCCACTTTTCAAAAATCAGCGATCCTTACCACTTGGGTTTGCACAACTTCTACACGGGGGAAGCCCAAACCAAACCTCCAAGAGCGACACACTGTAAGCAACCTTTGGTTGGATTGATCCCACGTAGACCTCCTTCAAGCAATCCCACCTCAACTTCGCATCCCCACCCTTTGGGCAGTATCTCCCTGCAAAAGTTTTCTTTCCCATCACCTCTCCTTCCCCAGCCCCAGCATCACCCTTGGGCTCGTTGGTGTCACCTGGTTTCTGGGGGTTCTCCTTCTCAACCTTGCTCTTGGCCTTGGCGCCGGGCTTGCGTTTGGGTGGGGTGGCCTTGTGTGGCGTGGTCGACCTGGGCCGCCTCAACTTCGGAGATGCCGTTCCACCTGGAGTGGTCTTTGCAGCCCTGGCACGTCTGGCAGAAGCCTTGCATTTGGGAGATGCTTTGGCTTTTGGTTGACGGCCACGCCTGTTGGAAGGAGTGGTTTTGGCACCACTGCCAGGTTCTTCAGCAGCTTCCTCGAACCTTGCCTGATGATTTAGAGGCTGAATTCCTTCACCCCCGTCAACTTCGATGACCTCAGAAGGTTCAACCGGCATAGCCATGTCTGGCTCATCCTCAATCCTCTCTGCAGTGTCCTTCTTGGACCTGGAGGCCTTCGAAGCCGCAGGCCGCTTCAGGGCTGGGGCTTGGCAACGCTTCCTCTTTTCCGGCACTAAGTTGGCCTCATCCATTTTTGCAACCTTGGACTTGGCATCCTTGAAGCTTTGCTGTTGCTCGCGGGTCATCATGGGAAGATCCTCAGGGACCACCTCTTCCTCACGCGCCTCAGGGGTCACCTTTGCCCCCTTACCTTTTGCAGGGGTCTTACCTGCCTCTTTTGCCTCTTCTGCTTTCTCCCCACCTGCTACCTCACCCTTCCCTTCTTCTTCGTTTGGCTTCTCTGGGGTGGGGTACTGGAATTCAGGCTGCGTTGGTGGAATGTCCTCCTCATCGGCGCCAAAGGGAAATTGTGAATCATGCTCCTGAGCAATGCCTTCCTGGGGCCAATCGATCTCCATGGGAACGGTTTCCACTGCATCAATGCCTCAATATGTTTTGAAACCTAAGAAAAGAAAACCATTTACTATCATTTGCTTTTACCCCCTAACTCGTCCACATTGTCAAAATTAGTTGGCTAACTGGAGCAAAGGTGCACGGCGCCTCAGTAGCACCCTCGGGGATCCCAGGTTTGGCCTTGGGCGCAGCTTGCTGAGCACGGCAGTCGGCGTGAAGGCGATTCCTGGGAGATGTGGGATGGAGGGAAGCAAAGGTTGCATTGTTGTCTAAGCCATAACCTCACGCTTTGTAGTTCTAGGCACGCATGGCTTTCTCAGGATATACCGTATCAAGAATGCCAGGGGTGACCAAAAAACAACCGTGCACAGCACATCAAAAAAGCTGAGCTTCAGGGCCTCAAGCCTTGCTAGAAGGTCAGCCCTCGTGGCACTCGCCTCTGTTGACATTGTCTCTGGGTGCCCACTTTCTGGTAGCGAAGGGACACCGGCAGGTGTGAGCCTTGCAGGCAAAGGTGGTGGAGGCATTTCAGTCACAACCGTAGGACCAGGAGGTGAAGCAATCTCAGCGTTGGCTGCAACTTCAACATTGGCCGGTGGTGGAGGCATCGCAGATGTAGGAGCATGTGGTGGGTCCACATGCACAACTGGAGGCATCAAAGCCGGTGGTGGCATGAAAGCCTTGGGCACAGCTGGAGGGTTTGGGGCTGCAGGAGCAGCCGCAGCGCTTGCGCCAGGATGGGCAGGATCATCACCGCCATCGTCATCACCATCGCTGAGACCAGCAGCATCAGGCTGGGAACCAGCCTGCTCAGCCCAGTAGTGGCTCAAGATGCTGTAGAACTTACCCAGAGTCGGATCCTGGTCGTGAGAAGGCAGATTAAACATGGATCCACTTTGCTTTGGCTAGTCTTACAAAATAAAACATGCAAAGACTTAATAAACTCAATTTGGGCACCCGATTCTTTGCGGTAGTCATGAACCGCCTGATGCCGTGGTTGAAGAGGACTTTCAATCCATATGCGTCCAAGTGCACAAGCTTCTCGTCTCTAGTATACCCCATAGTCTCTCTCAATGCTGCCACCTTTGCAGGGATGCAACAATGGGGAGAGAATTGGGACATTGTTTGGCATAGCTTGGTGACAACCAAAGAACCCATCAAATCTAGCTGGACTTCCCGAAGTATGGGGTTTTCAACACATGTTCCAAATCCACACCTCTTTTCGCATCATTGGGATTGTGATTGCTGTCACACCCGCTGGGTTCCGTGGGCACCACCAAAGTGCCATCAGCTCCAAAGGAGCATGGTTGAGCGCCATCGCTTTGCAACTTTTGACCCCAACTGCACTGTCTGAAAGCCATTGGGTCACCTGACCTGTTGACCGCAATCTATTGCGGATCCTTTGGTCCCCCTCAAGCACCGCGGCAAGAGAAAGATCCATTGGAGGATTGCTAAAGTCAGGTTCACCCATCTTGACGTGGCACGTCGAACCAGCGGTTAGAATGCTTGAGCCAAGAAGTAGCCTAATCATACCAACCATGCGCACGGCCAGTCCAATCCAACCAATCATTCCTGAACCAACATGCCAAACTAAGTAGCAGCTGTCACCACCTGGAACCCCGCAACACCCATCCACGTACAATCCCATCGACTCCATTCGGGCGCACTTGGAGGCCAGACTTCGTGAGCGGTGGCCATTGCTTTCACCATGATGCCGGAGGGCACCAGGCATGAGAAGAGTAAAGGTACGGTTATCTTGACATCAACTTGGCAGAAACCAGTGTTTCACCAGAGTGTTGGGATCTATGAGGCCTGTACTGTCTCAAAGACTGATCATGATCTGGTGAAAGAATTGGGATAGATTGTTGATACAGTTCGAGCTGCCCATACTATTTGGGCGACTGATGCGACAGGCCTGAATCGAGCGAAGGAAAATGGACAGGATGATCGAAAACTGTGGAAAACCAAGAAACGCTCCTGAATCCAAAAAAGGTTCTCATCACTGGAAAAGCACTTATGTGCCTAACAACCAAAATTCTGAGGGTCTGTGAGGTTGTAGGTATATACCCTCCCTCCAAAAAAAACATGTACGTGGAACATGGCCCCCTGGAAAACCGGTTTGCTCTACAAACAGACTGTAGTGCGGCTAAGCAGCAGGTACTGGTGGGTGGTGTTGGAGGAATTCCGGCCCAACGAGAATCCTCCAAGACTTTCCAATCTGACAATTGTTCTAGTTCTATTGATGTTGTAGTGCGTTATCCACTTTCTAATTGCACTATACTCGAGGATCAAGGACTGATTGCTTGATACTCACGCCCTCTCACTGCTAAGGTGGGCCCAACGGCACACAATGCCACACAGCGGAAAGCGCGAGGCGGCGGCAATCCGCAGTTGCCACGGCCTGCTTGCTTCCCAAACAATCCTTGCATAGAACGGCATCAGCCAAGTAGCACAAGAGACACACATCCGACATACCCTGCACAACATTCTTTTCAGTTCTGAGTTTCTTGTGTTGCCGGCAGTCGCAACCAGTCGCATCACCGACGTTGGCTAGAGGTCCTTGTTCTGTAAATCCTGCAAGAAAGTATACTGGGTCACCAGTCACCACTGAAAGAGAGCTGAGCAGGGTCCATGAAAAACTGGGGGGGGCACCTCAGTGAAGCAAATGATTGCTACTTGTCCGCTGCTCATATCAGCTCATATCCCCAGACGATATGAAGTCAAAGGCACTCGACCTGGGCGTCCTTCACGGCGTCACGAGGTCTTTGGGGCGGGCTGAGCCCTCCAGGGGGCCCTCCTCTTCCGGAGAACCAGGGGTAGTTCGGAGGTCGGAGGTTACCGGTCATGGGAGTCCCTGAGTACGGTGCCAGGACCATCCAGGAACCAGGTGTCCTGGCTGGACTACCCAGCCTACCCCCTCGGGATCTCCGTACACCCAGACAGGATGGTGCAGGTATGACATGACACGACTACTTTCAAGCCTTCTTCCTCTAGGTGCAGGCCTTCAGCCTTTTGAGTGATAAGGTCCATGCAGCAAGATGGCCAAAATCGGCTTCTCAAAGCACGCTCCTCACCCGTAGGTGAGAAGCCTGCGCCCAAGGGCGTCCAGTTTGGTCCAAGGAGCACGGGCGACGCCGTGCGGGGACCCAAAGGACCAAGGACAGGCGGTGCTCAAGAGCTTCGTGATGGACAAAAATAGGGTTTCCAGACCAGCAGAGGTTGAAGAACCCGAACTATATATCCTATAGGTACCCCTGTAGGGTCCTATAAGGTCACTTAACCTCTGTAGGGATTCCCACCATTGGCGGTTAGCTGGTGCAACATCTTCACGGAAGACCTTGTAAAGAAGATTTCCGTCCAGAATGCTTTAGACTGGAGAAAGTGAGCAACCGATCAGTAATTACCTCCAGCTTGGCAAGCATTCAGACATCTTCCGACAACTAAGGCCGCCAAGGCTGGCGCTCAGGCCCGTCAGGCACGCGCGGGAAAACTCTCCGCGAACGTCAACACGGGGCCTGAAGCGCAGCCGGGGCCAGAAGAGGATGACAGTGAGGAGGAGAAGGCTGGGAGATGAAAGGGTGATGGAGTGGTGTGCCTTTCATGCGAAAAGTCTGGGAAAAAAGACAAAAGTGAAGATTCTAAGATGACTGAAGTTCAGTTCGTGAGTCCTGAGCTGTCTCCAAAGTTCAGTCCTGCGCTTGGAGAAGGTTGGAGAGTGGCTTTGTTTCGTGCGCATGTTGCATGGTGCTTTGATGTAGGGCCGAACAGGATTGCTCCACTACAGGCCTTTGTTGGGAGATTTGGGGTCTCCTTTCAGTTTTCAGTAGATATCAGGCAGTGGGGCCCGGAACAAGATCCTTCCCCTGAGATAGATCCTTTTTTGGATTCCTTTGGGCTCAAGCTGCACGAAACCTCGGCGGTTGATTTGGATAGTGATGGGGATCAATTGGGGCTTTCCACTGGGGACGCATTTTACGTTAGATGCGCCAACACATGTACCTGAAGGGAGCATGGCAGGTTCACGTACTGTTGAAACTTTCGGCTAAAGGTGGTGGAACTTACTCATATCAAGTCCATATCGAGTCCTGCAATGAGCCATCTTCCATACACGTCCGGGACTGGCAGACCGGCACCACCCCGGTCGGCCGTTTTGAAGGCTGTCCGTCATGGCAAGACAGGTCGCGTTTGGGTATGACGGTATGACCTCACCACTTTCGCCGCCAGGCACGTGTGGGGCCACTAATGCCCACCGGAACTGCAGAGCCAGATGAGTTGCCAGAGCCAGGGAAGGAGCTCGAGGCGTCGGCTCCCGGTTGCTCCGTGGGTCCGTTGACCCAAGGCGGAAGGCGTTGGTTGGTGGATTCCCCACCCCGCGCTGCATGTCATGATAACACGAAGATCATGTACCAGGGCCCCCGGTGCCAGGGGTGGTGAATGGACATCCCGAATCACCTCTAAAGAGCTATAATTGGACACCCCTTTAAGGGGGCCCTGGTAAAGAACTGCTGACACATGATTCCGCGTTCCTTCACGACACCCCTCTAATCGCACGGATGGAACTTCTATGGCGGGATGAGGCGGAAGGTCCATGTGACTCAGCGGACACTGACGAGATGGGGCTTCGATGGGGCGAGTGTATACGTCAAGAGGTCCATCCGAGGCATTTGAGGAGTTCCCAGTGGTTCTCACCCCCATCGGCCCCAATGGGGTTCCCAGTTTGATCTACCATGTAGACGACGGTTGATTTCTATATCAACCCTGAAGGTGAGAAATTGTTTTGCCATCTAAATGCCTTTGTTAGTGCCTTTGGCCTTTGTTCAATCAACGGATATCAACAGTCTATGTTAGGCCATCCTGGGCCTTTTGGACCTTGCACAATCACCGTCGATAGAGTCTCTAGAGGTTGAGTCTTTGGGGCATATGCCCGCTCGGACGAACGCTGGTTGGATACCTCTTCCGAATCCGTGGCTTCCAAACAAACAGACGACCATGAGTTTTCAGAAGACCAAACCGACAGACAGGTGCTTGTCATTGCGTTTCCACTTCCCAGACACTCCATGTGGAATACATGCCTACATTGACCCCTCCCAAAGCACCCCTGACCTGCTGAAGCATATATCTTCCAGTCCCATTCGTCGTGTTTGGGAATATGATGATCTGGGCAATGATGATTGAGATATGGTGGGTTTGTCCTCTTACCTGTAACAGTCAGTAAACAACATTTTTGGACATGACAAGGCCTTTACTAGCCATCATCATCCACTGTTACAGGTAATAGGATAGATCCAAGGGATATGATCTCAAAAATTTAGGTGTCAGTCCGATTGGATCATCATATCCCATGACAACTCAATTTCTTGAGATCACCATATCCCATCCCATATGCCAGCACCCTTCACTGCGAATACCTGCGACTGTTCCTCCAAAGAACTCCAGCCATCGGAGACCTGTAGAGTCGTCGGGTCCAGATCTATTTCCATGGCTTTGGATGCCATCGCCGACCGCACGGTCGATCGCTAGGTGATCCCTGTGACCCATGAGGTGGAAATCCCTTGTCACGCGCCGCGGCGGAGAGGGCTCTGTGGGGAGAAAAGGAGGGGTCCTAGAGAGGGACAAGGGAGGCAGGGATTGAAAGAGAGATCCTTTTTTTCTATAAAGAGAACCATTGGTGCCATCCTGTACCAAGTTTTGGTTTGCCAAGATGACGGAACTCGCCAGGTTCTTGGGGTCCACATCAACTTGCCCAGGTGGGGACGTACCAGAAACAGTAGGGAACAGTGGCTACTAAGACTCGGATCATGTCGAGCAGGTTGACCAGAGGGACCACTCCTGCAAGGTTTCCAAAGGCTTCCACCTGCCAAGTATGTTTCTCCGGCCTCCAACTGAGGAGAAGGCGGTGACTGCAATAGGCCGGGAAGTGGGCCAGTCGGACCAATGACCGCCTGCTTGTTCAGAGAGCAAGAACTCTACCCAAGAAGTTGCTAAGCTAGACAATTGCCCAAGGGGCAAGGGGTAGTTAAAGGGTTTTCCAGGGTGCCCTATAGACCCTATAGAGCCTATAGACCTCAATGAGCGCTGCGCACGCGCACGCACACAGACAGAAGTTGGAGAGCAAGGAGGATGAGCTCATTGACCTTGACCCTGTTCCTCCCTGGCCCATGTTCTTTATTTAGAGGATGACTGGTAGATCATGATAGATCTCAATGGCCATAATCACAAGCTAGTGATGATGTGGCTGTGGGTCAAAACCACCCTTTTAAGGTTGACCCTCCTGGTAGGCCATTCTGTTCATTTTTGGTGTCAAGGTACCGCGGTGCCATGGCCCACAGCCATATGTTGATCGTTCAGGGTCCTTCCTGGTCCTCCAAAATGCTCCCTGAGCTATCCTCCAGAGCTCTAACTAAGCCGCGGCTCTAGCAGCGGCTTGGAGCTACGTAGCTCGGGAAGCAAAAAAGGCGGGGTCTACTCATTCACATCCAAATGTGGCTTGGATAATTGGATATATTTGGATAATATGACATAATAGGAAGGGGTCAACCAAAGACCCAAAATGACCCAAATCATGAATGACCTCCAGGAATGACCCCGGTCGCGTTTTTCCTTTTGACTTCTCTTCCATCCTTTCTCCCGCACCGGTCACCACCACGTTCGGCCGATCGGTCGACCGTGCGAACGGTCCACCAGGGCTGGATCCCAAGGGCTCGCGGATGATCACAGGCGAGGTGCTTCGGTTCCACGTGCGGTACGGCGCGGGAAGCAGGCCACGGGGCCACGGGGCCACGGGGTGGTATAGAGGATGGCACTGGGAACGGCGCTGGGAAGGGCGCCAGGTCGGATGGTTGAGTTGGGGCGGTGGGGGATCCAAAGAAAGGGTCATGGATATCATGGGTCGTGACCTTGAAACATTCCCTAGGGATCCAAGTGCCTTCTCAGGTACGGTGATTGGAGACTATGTATGTAGGCGCCAGGAGGGCCCAGTCATACCTTCTGAGAAGGTATGTGGATCCCTAGGGATTCAAAACACATTGACACCTGTGCGCCAGGAGTCACATAGAGTCGGGTGGTTTTGAGTCGCCTTACGTGAGTGGATGTTCTGGGGACCCCTATCCCCCAAGTTCGGCGCCCCGACATGCTGTGTGGTTTCTCGGTCCGATTTTCTTGGAGGTTGGTTTTAAGGTGTTTGTTTTTGGAATGTCTTTGGTGGCTGTTGAGCTGTTGCCCCTTATCATTTTGAACCGGGCCCAGCTGGTCAACAAGCATTTGCATGAGACGTGGGACATCTCAGAATCCAAGGGCCCAGTGGTTTGAGACATCCGGGAGTGGGGTGGTTCATGGACACCCCTTTGTTACGTTTGTTAACGTCCCCTTCAATCCCCTTATAACCTCTAAGGGGCAGGTAGAATAGACCTCCCCAAGGGAGGCTGTGAACGGTTCCCCATTGGTATTTGTTTCTCATCCCCAAACAGATCTCCGAAGACCTAAACCTCCACGCTGGCCTGGCAAACCACTCACGCAGAACCAAACCTCCCTACCCGCTGGCATCTCCGGCTCCCCGAACCGAGCCACCGAGAGAACGACCGAGGAACCACCGACAGAGCACCGAGCCGACTCCCAGGCGGGCTCGAGGGCACGTTGAAGTTCTTCGACTTCCATGGGATGTCCGAGGCCAAGGCACGCCGCACCGAGTGTCGCATCGCGTTTCGCGCCGCATCGCGACCGGTGTCGCCGTTTCGGAACGGCGTGCTGTGAAGGTGACCGAAGCGGAAGATAGACGATGAGGAGCCCCAACAGAAAAGAAGTACCCAAGAAGCCGTGCAGCCAATGGAGGCTGAGGAAAGGCTTGGTTTCAAGTGATGGTTCATGGTTCCTTTTTGTTTGGCTTGTGGAGGTGGGCTTGTAGAGGTTACCCTTGCTTTCAGGCACCCCCACTTGCACTTAGACTCACCGTGCAGCAGTGTCACAAAGTCCGCCGATTTTTCAATCCCATTCAGTCATCATCCACCTCAGGCTCCTCTTCCAAAATCGTCGTCCCCACGACATGGGCGTCATCCATGCGAAAGGACACCACCCAAACACTCCATGGGACTGCCATATTTGCCGATCAGTTGGGGTGGTTGAAAAGGGGTCAATTGATCGGCAGTCCTATGCCAGTCCCAGACAGGTCGCGTCTGGGCCGAACGAAGATCCAGGAAACGACGATGACCGAAGTGTTCAGGACATTCCCTGACGAACGGGTCACCGAACTCGTCAGACCATTCTTTTTGTCGACTGGACTCCCACCCAGACGCTCCGTTCACAGCCCGACTGGTACCTCAAAACCCTAGGGATTTGAGACCCCAGACCCCTCCATATGAGGGCCCATGAGCGTCTGGGCAGATACAGAAAGCTGAAACGTGTTCCGACCTGCAAACCCCGACCCGATACAGCCTCATCACCGGCGTGCCGTCGACGGAGCCCGATCTCCGACCGCCTCCCGCTCTCCGCGGCGTCGACACCACCGGGTGAGCCCGGGTCGGGTCGAGGACGCCTTTCGCAGCGTGGAGCCGGTGGTGGGAAAGATGGTGCATGCAGTCTCCTTCAGCCCCACCGGCGGTCAGGCCCCGTTCGGGCCGGCGGGGGGGGGAAGAAACCGGGGGCGGCGGAGGTCTCGCGGTTCGAGGTTTCGAGGACGCGGCGAGAGGAAAAGTCAGTGTTGGCAGGGTGTTTTTGGGAGATGGAATTGAAGGCGGAGGTGGAGCAGGGCAGATGCCGGGCTTGGGCCTGGTTGTGGATCAAATGATATTATAGCGGCATGCTGTTGCATGACTTGGTTGCATTTCTCCTTGGTGGTTGATTGGCCATGATGTGTATTTTTTGGTAGCTGTAACATGCTGTAACATAGCAGGCCAGCCACATATTCGTGACGTTTTTGCTAATTTCAGGGTTCCATCGTGGGAAGCAGCTGAGAGGTTGAAAAGAACTCCCGCGAAACGAATGCTGGGCAACCATGGCCCGTCATGTTCGACAAAAGGATGCCAACACTTTTTTTGAACTGGACTCGTAAGGGGAAGCCTGAGGGGACCCCCGATTGCCTCCTGATGGGAGTTGTTGACTTCAGAGTTGGGCTCAAGCATAACACGTTTTTTCAAGCCAAGAACCATCACAAAAAGCGTCCCCAAACGCCTCCGGAAAGCGTCCCAAACGCGGCGGTGACTCGTGGGCGACCGCCATGTCGATGCGCTGGGGCGAGTTGTTGGCCTGTGCGTCTTTGGTGTCCTCGATCCACCAACAGGAGTGGCGTGCTCTTCACTTCATTCACTGCTGTTGACATTGTTTGCGGCAGGTGTCATGGCACAGGCTGTGGTCGTAACAGGCAATTGCACGGGCAGCGTGGCACAGGCGATTTTTTTGTGCGACACCTTGGACTCTGCCTCCTACTAACTACAACCACACCTTACTCCGTGGTGTTCATGGTCCTTTGTTGGTCATGGGCAGCACACCTTTGTCACTGACATAAGTGCTTTTATCACTCAATTCTGTTGATTTGTTAGGCCGCTTTCATTTCACTTGTTAGTGATGGGCAGCTAACTTTGTTCATTTAACAGCCGGAGTTCCTGTCCTTTTTGGTCATGTGCTGACCAACCTCTGCGTCACGCAGCCTGCATTCTGGTAGTTGGACGGGTAGTCCTACCAGGGGCCCGGTAGAGTCATGAAAACTCAAGGTGTTCATACCAGGACCCTCCAAGGGGTGCCCAACGGAAGCCTATAGGTAGTGTGGGGGAGTCCATTGGACACCCCTTGGAGGGTCCTGGTACAGTCCACCGTTTTTTCAATAGGGTGTCCAATGGAGGTCCCTTAGTAGTGTCGGGGCTTCCATTGGTGACCCCTTTGAAGGTGCTGGTATACAACAACCATGTTTTTTGCGAGGGAAAAGCAGGTGTTTGATGGTTTGTGGGGCTTCTTCGAATAGGCAGTCTATTCGTAGTTCTATTCTCGATCGTTCGGGCGGGTTCTTGGTCATCTCAGCAGGAGTTCATCCTGGACATTCTCCAAAAACTTGGCATGCCAAAGAAGCAGGCCAAGGAAATTACCAGAGACCCATGCAACAGCAGGCCCTTATTGGAGTGCAATGGCAACGGCACCATCGTTTCAATAGTCCTGCTTGGAGAACAGCTGAGCGGTGAAATCCCCAAGGAGCTTGGCCAACTCCAGTTGCTGCAACGTTTGGAACTTGCCAAGAACCGGCTGAGCGGTGAAATTCCAGAAGAGCTGGGCCAGCTCCACTCCCTGTGGAATTTAAACCTTGACCAAAACCAGCTGAGTGGGAAAATCCCGAAGCAGCTCAGCCATCTTCAGTCTTTGGAGATTCTAAGACTTGGCCAAAACCAGCTCAGCGGCGAAATCCCTAACGAGCTCAGCCAGCTCCAGTCTTTGCAAGAACTCGACCTTGCCCAAAACCAGCTGAGTGGCGACATCCCCAAGGAGCTTGGGCGGCTCCAGTCACTGCGAATGCTACAGCTTGCCCAAAACCAGCTGAGTGGTGAAATTCCCAAGGAACTTGGCCAGATCCACTTACTAGAAGAACTGGTTTTGTCCCAAAACCAGCTGAGCGGCAAAATCCCCAAGGAGCTTGGCAAGCTCCATTTACTAATCATCCTGCTACTTCACCAAAACCGCCTGAATGGCAAAATTCCAAAGGAGCTCAGCCAGCTCCAGTCACTAAGCCTGTTGCTCCTTCACGAGAACAAGTTGAGTGGCCAAATCCCCAAGGAGCTCAGCCAGATCCACTCCCTGACAAAACTAAACCTTGCTCATAACCGGCTGAGTGGCCAAATCCCCACGGAGCTTGGCCAGCTCCAGTCATTGAAGGGGCTGCACCTTGCCCGAAACCAACTCCATGGCGATTTGAAGGAGATCATTTTCAACAGCACACACCTAAAGAGTCTTGACCTGAGTTTCAACAAATTGAGCGGAGAGCCGGTGTTTTGGTTGCCACTGAAGGAGCTTGAAGAGCTTGATTTCAGCCACAACCGGCTTACTGGGAGCATCTTGAAACTGGTTACACCTTTTTGCAGTATGAGTCCTGCCGGGATGTCATTGCAGCAGCTGCGATTAAACCACAACAAGCTCAGCGGTGAGTTGCCTCCATGTTTGATGCAGTTTACAAATTTGCAGCTCCTGGCTTTGAACAACAATCACTTCTCAGGGGCCATTCCAGAAGTGCTGGCGCCCGAGCTGGTGGTGTTGGCTCTTCATAAGAATTACTTTACGGACCATTTGCCAAAGGGGTTGGAAGACTTGGAGCATTTGGGAGTCTTGACGCTGCACGAGAACATGTTTATGGGTGCCATTCCGCACTTGAACCTCACCACCCCGTGCATTGACAATTCGCGATTCAGTGTGCAAGGATGGAGTTGCAGCATGCTGAAAGTCGATTTTTGGGTTTGCGACCATCAATTCTTGCGCACAGTATTTGGACCCCATATGTTTCAGCACATTGTGAGTAATTGCCCCGGATGGTGCGACGCTTGCCAAAGCGGAACGGCCAACATTACATTTCACAGGAATCGCCTGTCAGGTAACATTCCAAGCAGCATCAACAGGACTGACGTGTTGGGTCTTAGCATCATGGGGAACATGCTCGGGAATGGGCGAGAAGTCAACGCATCGTGGATACTGCCTGAAGAGAAGCAGCCCTTCCTCTACTATTCGCCGAAAGTGTGGAACTCTCACACTCAGCTGTTGGGCGGCATGGACTTGCTCAAAGTGTGTTTTGTTCATTTGTTTTTGTATGGTTTTGTCATTTTATTTCCAATTGGCCAAGCGAAAGCATGCTTGACTGTCATTGCGAAGTGCTTGTTGTTTTGCCCAGCTCCCTGATTTGATACTCTTAGGTGGTATGTACGTCTTGTTCTTTGGCATGACGGTTTTCAGCTGGCCACTTCGCCAAAAGTGCCTCCAGACATATCGTGGCTTGTGTGTAGGGCAGGCAGCTTTGGTGGTGGCTTCCAATTTGGCAGTGATACTTGCTTGGAAGATGCAAAACATAGATCAGATGTTGTTGACCGTTTCCCATTCCAAAAACCGGGTCTATTCATTGTGTACATCAGTATAATTATCGGTTGTCGGTTTGTTGTGTCCAGATCAGTTTCTTTCGACCAGCCCCCCACTTAACAAGACGCCCATTATGTAATATTATAAATATACTTGTCAGTTTGGGCCTGCAAACCCAGGTTGAAGGCCGCGGGAAGTGCCGTTGTATTGGCGTGCCCACTCTTACTCTTCTTTTGGCGAAATGCTGGCTACTATGCCGCTGCACCACCGTTGTGGAACATATTTGCTGCCAATTTTGAAGCAGACCATGGGGTGGACTCTGCTGTAGTTAGCTGTTGGTGCACAATGGCATTCGTTTTTCGCACAATGATTGCCAGCATGCCCAAGCGTTCATGTTCACCCGCAACTGCCTTTGCCAAAGACAGCCTCCAGGAGCGACTTCTAAGAGTTGTGGCTTGGGTTTGTTGGTTTGGCATTGTCTTCATTTGTTCATTGCCATCCATTCTCTTTGCTTTCTCCCAATCCTTGCCCGCACACAACTCAATTCCGCTGAGTGATCTTGTTTTGCAATGGTTCAACAGTCTTGCTCCTTACCTGAATGTGCTCATTGACATGGTGCTCTCAGCCCCGGTCTCTAAGAAGTATGCAGCCTTCACCGGCATTAAAGCGGATCGGTTACTTATGACTTTTCGTCTCTTTTCAGCTTGGCTCTTGGCGCTGCTTACCACAGTTGTATTGGACGAGAACTGCTTATCAGGCTGGAAATGGACTTGGACTGTGTGCCAAGTAGGATCCCCGAACCACCAGAATTTCAACTGGGCAGTCTTTGGCGAAGAGATTTTGAACACTGACCAAGACATTTGTGGATCCACTGATGCCTGGTGGTCGGATGGTCGATGTAGCCGGGCCATCATAGGGAACCTGACGCCCTTCCTCCTCAAAAAGCTCATGGTTCGAGCAACCCTCCAGCCATTGACGCTATTGATGTTTTGGCACTGTTCGAAGCTGGATATGCCTAGAGACGACTTGCAGGGAAGACACTTAAAGCTCTTCGGTCGATGGCGGAGGACGACCGGCTCGCTGGTGCCTTTGCAGCAACTGTCGCTGCTGACCACGCACATGGAAGCTATCTCGCAAAGGGTGCGACAGCAGTTCTTTTTCTTCATGGTTTGCACTTACAAGAGCAGATAAAGCTAGTTATATAAAGGATATAGGGATATAAATAGGGCTATATACATATGCATACGCTGCATATACAACTATATAGTATGGGCTGACCAAATTAACGATGCATTCAACAACCAATTGGACTTTTCACATGTACAGCATAGATCCAGCGTTGAAGCGCCGTGTTTCTGTAAACAAGGTCCACGTATCAGCTGAGGAAATGTTGATCGTTTGGGCTCCATTGGTTCCCTTTCTGGGCTTTGCCATCCTTGCCGCAGCTCTGGCAAATCTCTTCATGTTCGATGCTGGCCTGTGGAGCTTCCAAGTCACTTTGCCCACGGATGAGATGAACAGGGGAGCTGCCATATCGACGTCGTATTTACGATTTGCCCTCGTGGTCGGCTCCTTCTTTCAGTTATGGTACGCTTTTGGCACCCAGTTGTTTGGTCGCTATGCACTGCTGGCCAGTCACATCATGGTCATTGGGCCATGGGCAAAGCATTTTTTGCCTGTGGACCTGGTCAGACGTCACTTTTGGACCGAGCATCAAACTGTCAGCGATGTGCAGGTCATCGAGATGGCCATTCAGTTGGACCAGGAAGCAAATGCGTCGTGATGTGAATTTCAGGAGAAAAGCGTGCAGTGTTTGGTTTAGGTGCATGTTGGGTGATATTGCCCTTTAACCTGGGAGTCAAAGACTATAAAAGAATGGTCTTTAGGTGACCCGAAAAAGGAATTTCCTTTACCTTTGGACTTCTAGGGTTTATATATGTTGAAGAGAAGAGAATGCGTAGGCATATATGCCTCACTTATGAACCTTTGCTTCGAGATTCCATGATGTGCATTGAGGGTGTATGAGGATGTATGCGGTTGCCTGCGCCTCGTGTGGCAAGCGCCGAAAACTCCTGCACCTCCCTCTACGAGGTGTTTCCTCGGGGAGACCCGGGCCCCCAACTGCACCCACCAGTCGCCTGCTCACTTAAGACCATCTCCTACCACCCCCACCTGTACCCTCTCCCAGCGCTGTCCGTGGGTTTTTCGTCCTCGCCTGCGTCGCCTGCGTCACGTCCAGCCGTCCGGTCGGGGCAGGTCTTAGTCGTTTGCTCGGACGCGGCCGCGCGGATCTACGACCGCGACGGCCGCACGGCTCGGCTCGAGTCGGAGCTTCCGGGTTCGGAACGGAGCGACGGGTTCGGGAGGAGCGACGCAGAGAGAGAAGGTGGAGGGGGCAAGGTGCGGACCCTCCATCCATTCATGGAAGCGAGCGAGCTTCTAGAGGAACATATAGAGGAATGCATATATTTGTGGAGGAAAATGGATCCGACAAATCTTTCAGTGTTTCAAGGAGTGTCATGATCTTCTTCATCCTAGTTTTTGGAGGTCTTAGCAGTCTTAGCAAGGTCAGGCCCCTGACTGATTGACTGAATCTGAATCTTTCAACAAGAAGTCCGGGCATTGTTGTCAACCAGGAGCCTCACGGATCAACGGTATGACCTGGTGACCTGGTGTTTCTTTGAGTTGCCCTCTCAAAAAGCAGCAGTGGTTAGGTGTGTAAACCACCTACCGTTGGTAGATCCGAAAAATGGAACGCTTTCAATTGTGCTGCGCCCAAAGGCACGCTCTCCGGGACCCAGGTTTGGAAGGCCACATGACATGTGGGTCGATACACGCCCATGTGGGTCAAGAGAAACCTTGCACCTCCCCCCCAAAAAAAGGTCTTGGTCGCCTCACCCATATTGGTCGACTGATTGGTAGATCCTGATTCAGCGACGGCCCCAGGAAGCCTCCCCCCTCTGAATTGCTTTGGGAGGGAGTGGATCCTCAATTCAAGAAGTGGATCCCCCATTGCACCATGGCCCCAGGAAGCCTCCACTCCACCATGGTGGAGCCCCATCCTTCCACCCCACTAACCCTCATCCTCCTTGCCCGGCGTCACGACTGGACCTGATCACTCCTTGTGCGACCGGCTGCACCCAGGATCCTCGACACCCATCCAGCAGACGGTCTTGGGCGACATGTACGTGCGACAGATGGAGCACACCAAGGGCCACACACAGACGCTGACGGATGGCATGTGGCATCCATTCAGGCCACATTGATGGCATAATATGTGTATATGAGATGTGTATGTTTGTGTCTATGATTGTGTATGTGTTTTTTGAGATGTGACTGTGTGGAAGTCAGAGTGGTGGGTTGAAAGAACGTTCCATAAAGAAAGGAGTGAGAACGGGACCAGAGAGTCTTGATGGGAAATGGTTTCATAGATGACACAAGCTCGACGCGTGAAATGAAACCTACCTGGACCTTCCAAGGGGTGTCCTGGCTGGAGGTCCCTTAGTGGTGGGCTGGGGCTTCCAGCCGGCACCCCTTGGAAGGTCCTTGTAACTGCCACGAATTCATTGGTTTGCTTGTTGCTTGCACCATTCGTGCTTGGTCAGGACCGAGCTTTTTCTGACTGCGGCATTGGATGGCACCATGCGAATGTGGGATATGACGCCCGCCGAAGACTTCGAGTGGCAACATGTGCAATCTCCAACGCAACATGTATAACATGGCCTCCGACCACTAGGAACAAGAAGCTGCGAACGGGGCGACCCTGGCATCGCGAACCGAACCGTTCGCGTTCGGACGCGAACCGAACGGGGCGACCCTGGCCTTACTACTAGGAACAAGGACGCTACTCTCTCTCTATATCCCTATAGGGCCTCCAACCACTTCGGTTCCACCGTTTCGGTTCGATAATTAATTGGGGTGGGTGCCAGGGGGGTCATGTAGCTGTGTTTTCTTTCGCCAAGTAGGGGCAGTTTGATTTGAAAAAAACATACATTCTCAGCTTCTGTGAGAATTTGACATGCGGGCAGAAATGGTCCCACGGGCGAGATGGGCGAGACGGGCGTGAACATGTCCGGCATAGCCAGACACAGACGACAGTGTGACGGATTCCCGAACTTTCCAGTTGGTGATGGATCCACGGATTCCCAAAGGTTTCTGTGGTTCAAGATGAGCTGTCCATCCATCATTCATCAACATTGGTTGAACTCATGGTGCGGTGCCAAAAATGAGGCATGGCCCCTGTGGGCAGCAAGTTGGGTGTACTATATAGTGTTTGACTGATAACTTGGATTTGTCAATATTTGTCCTATTTCTTGTAACAGTCGGTCAGAAATAATCACTATTTTTGAGCAAGGCCTTTACTGCTAACGGGATAATAGACCCAACTGATAACTGCTGTCTACATTGGCGGCAGCCTAGTCGACTATCGATTTCATTCAAGTCACCAGAGCGAGGAGTTGGGAGGTCCAGAGTCACAAGATACTCCCCTGCAGGTCAACATGGAACCCCAAAACCACTGGGATGTAGAGGAAAATGGTCTTCCATTGGTCCATTTTCGGGTTCCATGTGAGTTTGCGGGGGGGGTCTCTTCATCCTCCGAGCTTCTTATATCATTCAAGGAATCATCTCACCAGTTGGAGTGCAGTGTCAGCCACCACGGCTGTGGCTCATGGCTGTGCAGGTCCAAATGCGGTGCACCTGGCAGGTCATCAATTCGGTCCCAACGTTCGATTCGGTCAACACCCGGGAATGTGTTCTCCGACTTGAAACAGACCTATAGTCACCCGGTTGGACTCGATTCCGGACTGACTGCTTTGGAACACCGGTCAACACCGGAGTTCTCCGGTTTGAATTTGACCAACTTCAGGACTGCAGACCCTGTTGGCATGGATCAACAGCTGCCATGTGTCCACGTGCTGAAGACCGTGGACAAGCGCAATGTGTGCGTCGGTGGCGGCTCGGGCAAGTGCCCTGGAGAATGCTTCCGGTTGGAGTGTGAGCTATGGAACACGTTCCCCACCAGGGCCCCCGGTCAGGGGTGGTTAATGGATACCCCGAATCACCTCTAAGCAGATATAATTTAGACACCCCGTGGAAGGGTGGCATACTTGATATAAGCATCCCGCTGGGCCATAACATGCCACCGGCACACCAGCACGGTCACCCCCTGTGACCCACCCCTCGCACGACCTGAGGCAGGGGGGACTCTTCCCCACCTGCTGCTGCTACTCTCCCACGGACGCCAAGAAGATCGTCGCGGGCTGCTCGGACGGCTCGGTACAGCTCTTCTTCGACAAGGCGGGGCAGAGGTACTGCTCGCCCGTGCATGTGCTTGCCGCGTCCGGCTCGCCGGCAGGCGGGTTGGTTTGGGGAGCTTCAGAGTTTGGACTCAGACTGGACTGGCGCATCAGTCACTCATCACTCGGCTGTGGTCCAAAGGATGACTCAGTGGTCACGTCTATGTCGCAGCAGCTTTGGGTGATGGAGTTCCCATTGGTTATATTGGTTCCCGGGTTCCTTAGGGAATTGGAGTCTATTATAAAGGTATGAGAGAGAGAACTTCATATAGAACTCGCACCTGAGAACTGACCTTGATCATACCTAGATCTTCCAACTATGCAAAATGTATGCCTTTTGGCTAATTTTATACACTAAAAGGCAGAAACTTTGCATAGTTGGAAGATCTAGGTATAGTATTAATTACAAATACAATATACCTTCCCTTCGCCCCCTTCCAACCGCCTGGAGAACCGCCTCGACACCGGACCACTCGCCGCCTCCTGCGACTCGGCCAGGCTCGTTTCATGCGACCCGACAGGACCGGGAACCCCGAGCGGAGACGGAGACGTTGACCGGACGATGGACCTCAGAACGATCGGAGTTCCAATTCTCTCAGACGAGCGGTGGTTTGGCCCAGTTCCACGACCTAAAAAGATGCCGTGCAGAGCAGGTCACACCCCAAGGTGGAGACCTTTTAAGTGTATACAATCCCAGACACGACCCGGACCTGGGACTGCCATAGGACTGCCGATCAAGCCAGACCCCCCAGACCACCACCCTGGCCTGATCGGTATATATGCCAGTCCCATGGAGTGTTTGGGTTGGAGAACCTCGGTTCGTCAACTACCAGCCACAACCTGCCACCAATTTTGGGTCGAGTCGGGACCCCATTCACCTCGTGGGGTTGCCACGATGTGCCATGAAAACATCCGGTGCCATGGAAACCTAAGAGAGTGCCATCATGAACTGTTTCTGCAGGGCTTTAACTCGGTTACACTCCCCGAGTTTCAGATGACTGTCCTTTGCAAACAGCAGGTGGTCTTCCACTTCATTTCAAGGACCGGTCTACAACACGGTGAGGAGGACTTGCCCAAGTCATGAGCCTAGACGACCCCTGCAGAGCGGAATCCCACACGATGGGTTGGTGCGACTGGAAACTGATCTCCCAGTCTCGGTCCTTTCGAAAAGGTTCCATGTCTACCAGGGCCCCCTGTTTGGTGTCCAATTCTAGCTCCTTAGAGGTGATTCGGGATGTCCATTCACCATCCCGATGGTCAAGAGAGGTAGCCAGTGACCAGGTCACGTTCGGACCCGGAAAACCGGGCGTACCGAACTGGGAGCGTCGAACGTTCGGGTCCTGACCCACCTCTGCTGACTGGTCTTCGGTCCTTCGCAGCAGACCGAGGGGGTCAATCCGTCGGGGGCGGTCCTCCACGTCGGGAGCCGGAGTGGATCCGAAGGTGAGCCAGGCCTTAGGATCCACCGTCCTTGGAGACGCATGACTGACCTGTACGACTTCTTAGAAGTGCGGATCCATGACGAGGGGGGGAAAGAATGAGGATCATGAGGCATTGGGAGTTCTGAGGGCTGAAGGCTCACTGGTTTTCATGGTTTTACTCCTTCATGGCACTTCATGGCAACATTTGGCAATCCACTATCCACATGTTTCGCTCACTTTCAGGCTCGAAGCCTGAGCCTAACTGAGCCAGGTGGAGAATCATGAGCGACCGAGGACCGTCACCCTATTAAAAAAGGGGTCACCAATGGAAGCCCCAACACTACTAAGGGACCTCCATTGGACACCCTATTTAAAAACAAACGGTGGACTGTACCAGGACCCTCCTGTCGGGGTGTCCTGGCTGAACTACCCCACACTACCGCACTAGGCTTTCAGACAGGGCACCCCTTTCAGGGTCCAGGTATCATGTTGTATCCATTGTCCGAGGTACGAATTGAGACTCCAGGTACGTCCAAGCACATCCAGGGGTTGGCTCATCTCTTTGGCGGAGGGACGTGTTATGCCTTTTTTGCGATCAAGAGGTTGCCAAAAACCTGGGGACGGCGCCAAAAGGTGAATGCTTGGAACAGCCCATGATCCGAAGGGCTTGGAGGAGCAAGGGTCCGAAAAGGGGACCATCAAAGCCCATTGGTCAGTTTCTGGATCACACTCTTTGCTTCGATCCCCTCATGTAGACTGTGCACGCCTCTCCTTGGCCGCCCAACACGTGGGGCATGGCGCGGCGCTACTTTGCATCACCCTGGGTGGAGGCCGGAGGCATTGATTCGCTTGGAGAGGGTACACTCCCTGGCATTCGAAACGGGTTCCGTAGATGATCCATATTCAATCCGAAGAGACTCTTCGGTGGTTTTCACCCCACTGATGATTCCAGAAAGTGTGGGACGCAATCAATATAGATATACCAGGACCCTCCTGTCGGGGTGTCCAATGAACTACCCCACACTACCTATAGGCTTTCAGACAGGGCACCCCTTAGAGGGTCCAGGTAGGTCCTTGGGGGCTGTTTGGGCATGAAACCCGTGGATCAAACGGCACTTCCCATCAGTCCCATCAACATGAAAAGGAAGCGGGTGTCAATGACCTACAAGTTGCCACCGGCAAGATACATTGACATTGAAAATGCCACCACTTCTTCCACACTTTCTTGAAGAGCACCCGCGCATACCCGCGCGTGCTTTGCTAGAAACCCCAAGACAGCTTTTGCCCAATGCATCACTCGAATCTGGGGCTCAGTCAGTCGGTCAATCAGATCCAGTCAGTCAGTCTCCGTTTTGCCTTTTGGGGCCTACTACTAGCAAGGAACTAGGGGCTCCTGGCCTTACTACTATAGGAGCATTCTTACTACTAGTAACCAGAAGCTACTAGTCACAAGAAGCTCCTCCTTGGCCACCAGGCGCAGCGCGCGCGGCTGCAGCGCCTCGTGGACTGTGCGGCAAGCTCCGCAAGCTCGGAGCCTCCGCGGGCACTGGACGTGGGCTGCGGCCGCGGGCGACACAGCTTGATGCTGCTGGAGATGGGATTCCAGGTGAAGCGGTTTTTTCGGACGGGAGAGGTCTGCAGACAGCTGGCCTGGAGGAAAGGCTGGCTTGAGGCAGCTGGCCTGGTCTATTTTTGTGTGAAGGCTTGAGGAAAGTGATATAGATGCTGAGGAGCTTTGCTGCGGCACTGGTCATTGAGTAGAGGAAAAACTCCCATGGACTATGGACCTGGCATGTTATTCACCATTTACATTGGGGGGGCTCAGAGGCTCATGGGGTCAATGGGGCAGCATAAAATCCTTCCATACCCGAAGCCTCGCCGTCGCGTCGCACAGACGTCGAGGTCACGGCAGTGGACCTGGATGGCGAGGCCTTGGACACACTTCGACAGCGAGAACGCGGCGCCGTGGAGAAGGGGACGCTGAAGATTCGTTCGATGGATCTGGAGGACGCGTTCGTCGCGTTGGGGGCGGGGGCGCCTGGCACCTACGCGCTGCGTGGGGACGGAGCATGACGGAGCTGGGTAAGATGAGAATCGTCTTGCAGACATCATGTTGGGTCCATCTGGTAGAGCCGCGGGTTGATGGCCAGGCGGAGGACGTTGGGGCGCTCGGCCACTTCGACGTGCTGCTGGTGGTGGGGGTGCCCACGGCGAGCATTCACATACGGTAATGGGTTGACCTGGTTTTGTAGAGAAGAATCCTTAGTAAAACACCGGTTGTTCAAAGCCAATGGTGGTTTGAAGATGTTAGAAGTCTTAGAGTTGCATGTCATTCATTCAAGAATTTTGGAAAGCTTCAGCTAGCTATAGCTACTTCGCAACTACGTCCGCAGCTACGTCCGCAACTTGCACCTGAGCAGCCTTGGTCCGCCGGCCGTTTAATGCATTGAATTGGATCGTGTTGAACTTGGCTGTGAGCGTGCGTGCATCCTGCCCCCGGGTAGCTCTTAGGGCTGCAGGTGCCATCAAGCTCATAACATGAAAGACGAGGATGAGATTGATGGGGCGCAGTGACCCGGGACTCCTCGGGCCCCTTCTTGGATCTGGGGCCCCCCCCTGCTCTTGGTGTAAAAGGACTGCTGGTACCTTAAGCCACGTCCACGGTCTCCGCTTCAGTTCTTGAGAAGGAAGCGGAGACTGCATGGGTTCAAAAGAGAACTGGATGCCCTGTGTGCGTGTGCTTTTTTGGCGGGTTGTGCTATTTCAATGACACAGGGATCACATGGGACCACCATATGCGCGAGAATTGCCACGTTTCGAAAACAACAGATATCGGTTGGCCCTTTCCGAAACCTCAATTCTCAACTGGGTCCAACCGTCCTGACTGGGTCCAACTGAACGCCCGAGAGCTTGAAGGCTTTTCGCATGATTTAGCCGACACCGACCTCAGCTCCTTCGACCGTCGAACTCGATGGCCGAGGTGAACTACGCCTCCCGGTCCTTGCTCCCGAAGCGGCTCGACGTGAAGGAGCGAGCGGACCCGAGTAGCGATACTAGCGATGGCCTCCAAACTACTAGGGATGGCCTCCAACCTAGTAGCTTCTAGCTACAGCTTCTTAATTGTTACTATAGTAGTAATGGTCCAACCTGTAACCTAAGAGCGGTGGCCTCCAACCTACACGACAGGATCCATGGTGGGCGATATTGAACAGGCCAAAAACAGTCATGGCGGCCCCAAAAACGCCCCAAACGCCGCACTGTTCCACAGAGCGCGGCTGGTCCCCATGCGACCCTCATCACCCGATTTCGCAGCGGACGAGGAGGCCTCAGTAGACCGAGCCGCTCCGTCGAAGCCGGTTGGGGCCCAGTCGACCCAGCTGGGTTGGGCCGAGGTTGCTGCAGCTGCTAAAGCCCAAAGGGTTGCTGATCTTCGAGTCCTGGGCTCAGGGGAACGAACACTTCGCCACGCCCAAGGATGCCGAGGCGGGACGAGGTTGGGACGGAAGGAAGCGTTCCGGACGGGACAACCGGGGTCCGCGGTGAAATGGATTCAGAAGGACTGGAGAAAGGGTCCACGGGGTGTTGGGTGTTTCTTTGTCCCGCCGAGGGGGTGTTTCTTTGTTTGCGCCGTTGAAGTCTTTGTCTTAGGTGCAACAATACCCCTCTTGGCAGGATGCAAGATCAACTCCAACAACTCATGGATCTGCATCCACAAAACCGCAAGGCAACACATATGCAGCAATGACATGTTGCACAGTCGGAAGATACAGGCATTGATCTCCAATTTCCACCTTCTCTCCACGCCAAAAATCCTGAACATCCACCCCACCCACACCACCCCCTGGCAATGTCATGTTTGGATTGGTCTCCACACCAGTTCGGCACCAGAATCGGCCGCCAACTCCGCAGAACTCCGCGGTTCAACCGCTTGGAACGCCCTCGTCGCGAAGAACTGAGGCCCAGCGGCGTCTCCTGAGGGCCAATGAGCTTTTGGAGGCCACGAGTGACTGCTTCACCGTGTTAACTTGGCCAGGGGATAGAAGTTGGGAGTGGAGAGGGTTGTAGAAGTGGATGTATGTACTAGTCACAAGGTTTGTAAGGGTTAGGAGATGTTAGGAGTCAGGAGCTTTATAAGAACCTTTGTAGGGAGGTGTGGGGTTGCTTGGGAGGGCAGGCAACCGTGATTTGCAAGTGGCAAGTAAGCAGGAAAACCCTGTGACCATCCACCCCCCACGTTTTCTTCACATCCCAGGACTCGATGAAGAACACCAGCAGAGGTTGAAGAACCCGAGCTAGACTATCCTATAAGGTCACTAAAGGTCACTTAACCTATAAGGCTACTATAAGGTCACTTAACCCCTGTAGGGTCCTATAAGGTCACTTAACCTCTGTAGGCACCAGGCTCTCTTCCAAGTCCTGTTGCTTTTGCAGGCTGTTCCTACTTTCTCCCCAATTCGAGGACCGGTGCATTACATGATGCAGGTCATTCCAGTGGCACGTCGTTGTTTTTGCCCTTCGGTTCCTTTTTTGGGGATGGTTGCTGATGCATCGCGAGAATCGGCGCCCATCGAAGCAGCGAATTTTGCTCGCTCGCTCGCTGCAGACCAGGCCAATCCACTCCACGGCATCACTTAGGTTAGCCTATTCCCATGGCCTCCAGGAGGACTATGAAGGCCAAGCTCGCCAGCGCCGTGGACGGAGCTGGCGCCCGGAGTTGGCGCCAACCAAAAGATGTCTCCAATCACCTGCGATAGGAGGGCATGATGTGGATCCATAGGGTGGGAGATGGTTTTCAAGGGTGTAGCAGAGATGATGGCAGATGAAGAATAGTCCACTTATGTCCAGTTCCGTCTATATTATTATAAGTATATATGCATCAAACCCCCAAATGGCCAAATGAGAAAACATTTTTCGGCGAGGCCCAAAGGCCAACCCAGTTGCAGATCACCTCATGAAGATTTATCTGCTGGAAGATGAGAGCGCCGCCCAGCGCCGACCAGGCCGAGATTGCGTGAAGCAGATGATCTGCGCGGAAAAGAGGCCCTGCCCAGGCACATTACGGACATTACGTCGGGCAACTGACGGTCTAGAGTCTGGCTTTGCAGTTTGTGGTGACAAAAACTATGATGTTGGCACATCAGAAACTTCCGACATCTTGACCCAACTAGAATCTAGATGGGCCATAGAATAGAAGGGGTCCAAAAAAGACACAAACTCTTGAACCTCATGTCCCTCCCTCTCCTCCCAGCGCGACCGGTGCACAAGCACGACCTGGCACAGGCCGGGCCTCGCCTGTTTCGGAAGCATCGCGGTGGTGCCTGGGGCGCTTGTTGGAGGTGACTGATGCATCCTTCCTGCAGGACGGGGACGCCGATGCAGTTGTTGCATCATGACTATCAGGTTTATATAATGGAAGTGGATGGCACCCCCTCTTGATAGAGGAAAAGCGTCTTCCAAGGGGCCACATGATTGTTTCAGGGAGTGCAATATGCATGGTGGAACTTCATTGTGGTTGGATGTGGGAGCTCTTTGATGTAGCATGTCCCATTAGGAGGGCTGGTTTCATTGGGGTGGCTGATTGTTTTGTGATATGGCAGCCTGGGTTCACTCAAGGGAATGATTGGGAAGTAGCTTGTTCTTGAAATGTGCCAAGGGATGGGAGGGTGTTCATAGTCATAAACAGATGATGAGATGGTATTTGTAATAGCTAGTTCGTCGCAGGGACTGAGAGCTTCGATGCTTAATTGATGTAATGTAGAACCATGTAGAACCTTAGTCCGTTGCCTCACTCGAATCGTTGAGCCACATGTTGAACCACCTAATCGTTGAGCTGTGGCTCCGAAATGGCATCCCAGACCGTGCGCCAAAAAAGGGTGACTTGGAGGGATCATGTGGCCATGAGCTTGAGGCCTTTCGGCGATTAGACATGGCCACAAGTCATGACATCGCGTACACCATCACTTGTATGGGTGGCACGCAACAGAACAATGTGGCGGCCTCGATTGGCGAGGAGCACTGTATATTCCAAGCGATCGAATTTTCCCACCAGGTGTCGCAGCAGACTACCCTACAATGCCCTACGGTTGATGGACAAAATCCTGCACCACTTCGTGTCCGTGCGTCTTCCTGCCCTCGCGCTCCCTCTTTAACATTGGGCCGGCGCTCGTCCAAAAAGAGAAAAAAGTCGAAAGTCCGAAATCCTGCACCACCTACTGCGACCTATAGTGCCAACATTGAATGGGGGGGCATGGGGGCTGCTCTATAACCTGTGTGAAGTGTCTTGCTTGGGCGGTGCAGGATTTCGTCCATCAACAGTACCCGAAAAACAGGTGGGTCCATGCAGGAAAGAGCGCAAGACATTTTTGGACTGGAAGACGAGGCAATGTCAGCAGCAAGCGTCAGAGCGCAAAGCGCAAGATCATTTGCGCAAAGCACACGGGGCAATCGAGGATATGCCCATCCGCCTGCGGCAGCGGGCGGGTGAACCGGTAGATGCGCAGGCGCCGAAGAAGCATAGTGTGCTCGGAAGGTATGCCTTGCGTGAAGGCCACTTGTGCTTGCGCCTGGAGGGGGCCCAAGTCCTTTTCCTTGACCGTGACAAAAATCGGCGCAGAGCCCTCGTAAAGAAGGTGGCCGCTATATTGGTTGCTGTTTTGTGGTCGTGGTAGCGGGAAAGGTTTGCCCTCGTACCAGAGCAGCTGCGTCGGCAGCGGAATGACACTTTCATCGAAGCACCAATCGTCCAGGAGGGCGACCTTCTTGCTCTCCAACCCAAGCAAAGGAAAGGAACCACGCTGTGGTGTGGCCTGAATGTGGGCTTGTCCATACATGGGTCGTAGGGGCGCCAGCAAGAAGGATTTCCCTTCGCCGCCGAAGCGGCCCATGAGGACCATCACCGGGACGTCAGCACGGCGACCATCCCGCAGAAGCGTGAAGACATCTTTGCAGAAGGCTTCTGCTGGAACACCATTGCAGGACAAGGAGAGCAAAGCACGCGGCATCCAGCGACCGTGGCACTGGCACGCAGCTGACGCTGCAGCGTATAGCTGGTCCAAGCGGCACTTGGCATGGGTCTCCTAATAATCCTCCACCTTCTCCCAGGACCACACGTCGTCGATCAGCGCAGGCAGCTTGGCGCGGTTTTTGAAGGCAAACGACACCAAGGCAGGAGTGCCATGCACTTTCAGATAGGCTATGAGCCTGGCAGCTGCATTGGCATCATCCGGAGTGTTCTTGAAGCCATTTTTCACAATCACCGCGTACAAGTCCATTTCTGTGGGGCGTGGTTCAGGCTTCCCCGTAGCTGCCGCGTCCTTGACCTTCTTCTCCCGCCTGCGTGACAAGGCCGCCGCAGTCACGGGCTCTTGCGCCACCTCAAAGAGGTCAGGGTGCGGCCCTGCTTTTGCCCAAGACTGGGGGCTGACGTCCAGATCCTCCAGGGGTTTCTGCGGTGAAGGCATCACTCCGTAGCGGACCGCTGACCAGTACCCAGTGTGTGAACTGCTCCAATGAGTGGCCAAGCCGTGCTCCACATGCAAAGCCCGCTTGTAGCCATGCCACCGAAAGCTGCGTGAAGCTTTGAGGGCCACATGCCAGTGATACTGGCCAGCTGCATGACGCTCGCGGAAGACGGTCACACATTCCAGTTCCACACCCTTCTCAGCTTCAGGCTGCCTCTGCTGGAAGACACTCAGAAACACCCGCAAGACCTCAGCGTGCGACCACGCCGCTGGGGAGACGTAGCCCCGAGCGGCCGCTCCAGGCTTCAGGGCAGGTAGGGTCACCAGGTACACGGACTTCTGCGCGCTGTCCACTTCAGTCTCCAGCTCCTCTGCCAGGAGGCCGGTGACATCATGCTGGCTGAATGCCCCCGCCGGCGCCTCCACTACGTGAAAGCCCAGCCACGTCTTGCGGCGCAAGCGCCGGGTTGGAGTGCTCAGCTCGCAGGACATTTGGGCAGAACGGCTACGCAGAGACGGGTCGACGAGGTCATTTTGGAAGTGACATGGGGACACGTGGCGGACGAGCGAGGACGAGGCACGGCGGACACAGATGCGTTGGAAGCAAATGGCCTTGGACATGCGACAGCGGGACAGAGCCACACACGCACCGAGACGGGACACGCACACCCACACACACACACACACACGCACACAAACACACAGCATGTGGTGTGCACAGTGCCCTACAGTGCTCCCACAGTGCTCGAACAGTGCCCCGGACAGTGCCCGCGCCCCAAAACCTTGTAAAAACTGAGGATTTGGCCACAGGAGTGTAGAACTACTGAAGAAAGAGTGAAATACATCTATTTTATAGTTTTGCCACTCAAAACGCTAAAAATGCTGCTTTTTCTCAGGTTTCCTTGCTTGGAGCACTGTCGCGAGCACTGTTGGAGCACTGTGCGAGCACTGTGGAGCTGTGTGTGTATTGCACAGCAGCACGGGTGTGCGTCGCGCGCAGGCCAGGACACACTTTTTGGGCCGTGTGCACGCAGATCCGTGTCATTTTCCACCCTCTTCAAAGAAGCCGCCCTTGGCAGCGAGGATGCGCTTGCAGCGCCGTTGCATATCGCCCATGCTTGCGCGAATGAAAGCAGCTGGCAAATTTTTAGCTGTGCGGCGGAGTCGCGCTGCAAATTGGGAGCGACTCTCACGTTTGCTCTTGGGCCATTTCTGTTCTTGTCGCCGCATGCGGCGGTTGATTTCACTCCAAATGGCGTAGTCCATGACACTCAAATCAGGGCTGCGACGAGGAATCTCCAACACGCGCAACTTGGAGGCAGCTTTAGCCGCAGTGCCACGTTTGGACTTGAAACCGCTGGGGTCGTTGTCTTCAAGGATCTGGAAACGTGTCTGCCCCGGGCAAGTGGCTTTCAGACCTGGCAAAAGACTCTTGGTGTACATGTCGGCGGCTGCTTTGCCGTTCCAACGGCTGTTGGGCACCGAGTGCCACATCAAGACCTTGCCATGACCGACGCCACCGACGACGAGAAGGCTTCGGGCACCTGTGTTGTAGTTCAGACTGCCTTTGGCTTTCACATACCCTGCATCCAGCCCTTCTCCAGGAGCTCGGTAGGCACCGAAAGTGGCGCGCTGCGCTGCCCGCAGCCGAGCATCACCGGTGAGGCATGAATAGAAGAACTTAGCATCTATAGCTGCATCCAGACGGTTGGACCACCACCACTTGGATTTCAAATGGTATTTCCGGGCGAAGGTTAATCTGGCTTTCACATCCTCGGCAGTGAGGATTGGCTTTTCGCGGAGTTTGCGAAAGAACACCCCCTGTGCATGCAAAGCTCGACTAATGCATTTTTCGGACACTTGCAGTTTACAGGCTTTTTTCAACATGGAGACTGTCACTGTGTACTGGCAGGCAGCTTTACGAACAAGTTGACCCAGCTTGCGACGTACAAACTGGACTTTTGCTTGCGGCAACTGCGGTGGGCGACCTTGCTTTTGCCGAGGCACCTGTTTGACTAGAAGTCGGGTGACTGCAGACTTATCGCGGCCCAGCTTGTCAGCAATCTCACTACAAGAGTCACCGTTCTCATACCATGTAGTGGCCAACCGGATCTCGGCCAGAGACAGCTTGGTCCAACCAGCCGCCGGCATGACCCACGGAACGGTGACAGGAATGGTTGGAGACAGAATCAGTCTTGAGCAGCTGAGCCACGATCCAGTCACGAACACACCATGTTTACGGCCAAGCCCTGTGAACAGCACGTGCGCCCGTGTGTGTGTGTGTGTGTGTGTGTGTCTGTGTGTGCGTAGACTACATACAACACACCTTGTCACCTGTCACCACACACCCTCCCCACAAGAGACACGCAACCGACAGAGACATCGAAGTGGACAAGGAAAGACAGACCAGGGACTCCACATGGAGCACAACAGATGGAGCAGAGAAAACCTGAGCAAACTGCTGAGTCCAGACGGTTGATGGACAAAATCCTGCACCACTTTGTGTCCGTGCGTCTTCCTGCCCTCGCGCTCCCTCTTTAACATTGGGCCGGCGCTCGTCCAAAAAGAGAAAAAGTCGAAAGTCCGAAATCCTGCACCACCTACTGCGACCTATAGTGCCAACATTGAATGGGGGGGCATGGGGGCTGCTCTATAACCTGTGTGAAGTGTCTTGCTTGGGCGGTGCAGGATTTCGTCCATCAACAGTATCACTAGCCCAACAACTACTGGATCTCCATTGAGCACCTCTTACGGCCTTAACGCCATTTGTGCTTCAAACCCACCTGACCAGCCCTCCTCCCCGCCTTCTCCTCCCCGCCTCCACGGTCCTACAGGACTCGGCCTTCGGCCGGGACTGGGTCTGGCATCGCCCCCAAAGTCTGGGCGTGGCCTTTGGCATTGAGGAGCGCCAGCGCGAGCCGCGGGGCTCGGTGGTTCGAGTGGTTGCCCGTCGTGGTGGAGGTTTGGGTGGTTGCCGGCGGCGCGTGAGGCGCTTCGGCCCGTGGTGGGTTCAGGGAGATGGCCATAGGTACAGTCCCACACTTTGAGGTTCCATTGGCCGGAGGGAGAATCAACTAAAACCGTGTGGAAATGAATATAGATGTCCAGAAGCTTACTTGCCCGACCTGCCCTCCGTATTGGTGGTGGTTTGCATGGCGCTCATCAACGAATCTGGAATCCAAGAGGTGTTTTGATCGGAGCCGCTCCTGCATTCTCCATCGCCATGTTTCAACCTTTGCCAAAAAGACTCAACACGTACCCGGACATGTCATGAGACTGCCATATAATATCATATAATACCTGCACCCTCCTGTCGGGGTGCCCTGTCTGAAAGCCTAGTGCGGTAGTGTGGGGTAGTTCAGCCAGGACACCCCGACAGGAGGGTCCTGGTATATCAATGTATAATACCAGTAGATTCCATTATGATGGAGTGTATGGGTAAAAGCTCCCATGACGAGCTGGAATCGGTGTTCTTCAAGTTTCTGAACTGACACCCTTACAGTCCAAGCCATCCAAACCGTGCATGCCGTTTTGCTCTGTCTCATCCAGCGACGGTCATGCCAGTGACGGCGTCGTTTGTCTGGCGGGTTGCGGATGAAGTGGATCTCACATGATGTGGGCGTGTAGCTGAAGACACCCAGACACGACCCGTCTGGGACTACTGCCATATATGGCGACCCCCCAGGCCACCACCCCTGGTCTGATCGGTATATATGGCAGTCCCATGGAGTGTTTGGGACATGGGAGGTTCCAACCCCCCTGGAGTCGCTTCGGGACAGCGCCGGGAGACCCAGCGACGGCCAGGGTGTGTCCCATGTTTGGGGCGGCTACGGCTGGGTAGGACTTGCTGCAGCTTTTGGACGGCTATGACCCTGAAGCTGCTCAGAAGGAGTACTTGGTGTGGTGGCCCAGAAGGAGGAAAAAAAAAAGCAGCCACACGGCCACACAGCGAGGGGAAGTTGGCTAAAGGGAAGAATGGAGCAAGTGAGTTGTTCGGTCTTCAGTCAGTTTATGGATCACTACCCGGATGCGACCCTGGGCCCGAAAATATGGAGGGGTCGGACCCGAATCCTTTGGAGGGGTCTGGGGTCTCAATTCCCGAGGTTTTGAGGGACCAGTTGGGCTGTGAACGGAGCGTTTGGGTACATCCTAAAGTGGCACGTTTGCTTCGGGCCGAGTGGGAACTGCGCAGTCATACAGGCTCAGGAGAGGGGCCTCACGCTGAGACACAGTGCGATTCCCAAAATGTCACCTTTGGGGGTGCGGCAATGGACAGAATCACAAGAGAGGGCAATCGATTCTTGAAAGCAGGTTGGAACATGAAAACATATGGGGCATTGAGCAACAATTTAACTTAAAACAAAAGGCTCAGAGGGAAGATTAGATAGTGAACCCCCTCAAGCGTTTGATTCTGATGGGACCCCGAAAGACACTGAGCTTCATCGACTGTTCGTTCTTGATGCTTTGTGGGCTGCGCCAATAGCCCCCAAATAGCCCACAATAGCTGACGCCATCAGAGCGACATCAGAGCGACCAACCTCCGCTTGAATCGATGTGCACAGAGCACGTCGCTGGGCCATGCATCAGCCGCCTGCGGTGGAGCCGCCTGCGGTTGATGAAGGTTTCTACGTGGCCATCCCCAGTTACCAACGTCCAGAGGACTTGAGGCTGAAGACTCTAGCACTACTGGAGCAGCAAGGAGTGCCCAAGCAACGCGTGTACATCTTCGTGGCCAATGCAGCCGAGCACCAGCTCTACCAAGAAGCTGTTGGGAAAGACTGGGGGAACATCGTGATTGGAGAGTTGGGACTTTGGCGGCAGCGGAACTTCATCACTTCATGGTTCAAAGAAGCTTGGGAGTTGCTTTAGAATTCTTATCACGAAAGCTTGGACGGCGCTGTAGGCTTCGCCTCTGACACAGATGCACCCCTGCTAGCTTTCGTCACCTACCCTCGGCCTCAAGTGGATCATGGCACGACTGAGTTGATGAGAATAGACGACCAGACATGGTCTGTGACTACCCAGGATTGAGGGCTCCCGGTGCCATGATCCACAGCCATATGACCATATGTGTTTTGGCTAGCCGTTGACGCACAGGATCACTGAGAGCTGAGAGGAGAGATCTTGTTGATCACATTTGAGCACCATCTCCATTCTTTTCTGCAAGGTTGCTCCAACCACTTCGCTTTGCCGGGGCATTTCGGGTGGTACATGTTACCCCCAACCTGGGGGTGAATCCACTGGCATAGGGGAACGGTTCCGTTGCTTCTCGAATTGCCATGCAGCGTTCGTGCCTCAGGAAGGGACTCATATCATCTCGATGGACGACGATGTGGAGGGTCTCTTCACTATCCAGCCCTGTGAGTCCACTTCCTCAACAGAGGCGCAGCTGGTCGCGCTCTCCGCCGGCGCCCTGGACAGCATCGCACGAGATGCCAAGGAACGAATGGCCAAGGCTGGAGCCTTCCTGTGGTCGCTGAATGTGCCTCGACTGCAGCGGCATGCAGCGGCATGCGACGGCGACGGAACCCCTGGACTTTGAAAGTTGCTACGCCGGGTGTGGAAGATGCTATGTCTTGGGGGAGGGTTTGGCAATGTTCTGCACCACAGGAGTCACTCGAGTTTCAGCAATATCCCTGGTCACATACATGGAATCATGATGAATCATGTCAGGGACCTCCTTGTGGTGCCTCGATAGGGCTGCTGACAGCCTCCGTGAGGTGAGCCACAATCCGTTTCTCATGAAGCACGGCATCGACTTGAGCAATGGGCTTTGCAACGGCTTCTTCTGGGGCTGCATCAATCGTCATGCAGAGGAGACCTTCCTGCGGTGCTGGGTGTTGGAGGTCGGGTGCGACATGGTGACACTTGAGGAGGAGGAGGAGGAGGAGGAGCGCAGCAGCCCTCCCAAAAGCCACCCCAAACACCTTCTAAGAAAGGAAAAGGTACGACTGGGGCCCTAATTAGGGACATGTTTCAGGTGATATCAGGTGATCAAGGTGACTGAGGAGCAGACAGATTCTCTGGACAAGTCGTTGCTGCCGCCACCTCAACCGAGCACAGCAACCGAGCACCCAAACAACACCTGGCCACTCAAGATTGCGGACTTTCCTTCATATATGGGCACTATTGGGTGGAGGCTCTCGCAAGTAGGTTAGAGGCCATCGCAAGTAGGTAGCAAGAAGCTACTAGGAACAAAGGGCATCGCTACTATGATGCAAGAAGCTACGAACGTAGCTCCTGGCATTGCTAGTAACAAGCCCCAGCTGCCACCGGCGAGGAGCTGCGCATCCGCTTCGGCGACGGCCACGAGGACGTGGAACGCTCCGCGCGCTTCTTCCGCCACGACGGGGCGCTGCTGCGCTACCGCTTCCTGTCGGTGCGGAGGGCCCGGGGCAGGGGGTGCGGTCGAAGCCGCATGACATTCCTTGGTGTTTGGAAGCATGGGGTCAAGAAGCTATACTGTATAGGGGCTCCTGGCCGTACGCTCTAGGAGCAAGAAGCTACTGTACTAGGAAAGTGGAACATTGGAAATGGGCCCCCTTCGCATGACTCACAGGATCACTTCATCTCCTTTTGAGCTGATAGGGGCCCTTGAAGCAAAATGAAATCCGAAATCATCCGAATCAGGTGAGTCACCCGGTGCCGAGGTAACGAACGGAGGAAGGAAGGAAGGAAGGAAGTCCGAACGAAGATCCACTCACTTGGGGGACCCCAAACCATCCAACTCCACATTATGACTCCGGGAAACCGTTTGTTTGAGTCGGTCGATGCGGCGGTGGGTGGTTTCCACGAACGGACGAACGCATCACATGAGGAAGTGGAGGATGCACTTTGCTCATATACCTGGATCCTCCAAGGGGTGTCCAATGAACTACCCCACACTACCTATATAGGCTTTCATTGGGCACCCCTTAGAGGGTCCAGGTAGAGGAACATCCGTTTACATCCAATTACCATGCGATTCGGAGGGTGCGAGATGGATCGTGCCCCGAGGTGCCTACCGTGTGATAGATGCCCACTCCTTGAGTTTCTCTCTTGCAATTGCAGTTGTTGGAATCACTATTGATAGTGACTTGAACTGACCTATCCCAGACACTCCATGGAACTGCCATATATGCCGATCAGTTGGGGTGGTGGTCTGGGGGTCAATTGATCGCCATATCTGGCAGTCCCAGACGGGTCGTGTCTGGGATTGTATACACTTAAAAGGTCTCCACCTTGGGGACCCCAGCTCTGCACGGCATCTTTTTCCACGAAAAAACGACATACATGGAGTGTTTGGGTATAATATGACGAATTAACACCCCCCTATATGCAATCAGACCCCCCCCCCCCCCTCCGACTCTCCCCCACACCGAGTCCGACGCACCGGATCTGCGAGGCGAAGACCCGCTGCAAGCTGAACCGCGGCGGGCTGCAGGCGTCGCTGGGCGCGCGCCGCAGCGAGGAGGAGGCGCCAAACGCGCGCGCTTCGAGGGTCGGTGGTTTCGGGTTGGCGTAAGGGGGAGGAGGTTCGGGGGTCGAAGAGGGTAAGCTCTCCAACCCAAAGGAGAGTGCCAAACCCGGAAGTTCCCACCCAAGGGTGAAAAGATCGACGTAGAGCGATGATTTGGCTCGGGGTGGAGAACTTTTTGGGTGTGTCCTGTCGTTCTTTTGATACGTTTGGTTGGAAGCCTATCGTTCTTTTGCAGAGCTTTGCCGGTCCAATTTGCGCAACACTTAAGGCGTCTTGAAGCTGAGGGAAGACTTCCGAACCAAATGGCAGGGAAGACTTCAGAACCAAATGGCGCCACATGCATCTTGGGAACTTCCGAATGAGATGTCATTGGACGAAGACTCCTTTGGGGGCCGAAAGCGCTTGTTATCGCTTCTTTGATTCTTAAGGGAGTGTTCCTATCGATTGCTGTTGAACTAGCAGAGGGTAGCAGAGGGTTGCCTCGGTGGTCGCACCCTCCGTCGTGCCGTCCAGGAGCAGAGCGTTCAGCGCTTGGTGAACGAATTTCCAGAACTGTTGCGTGTGGCACCTGGCACCGCCACTTGGGCAATCGGATGGAAGAAGGCTGAATGGAACACACTTATATTATGTACGCTTAGGGATCTTATGCGATTACATGCGATGATTCATTATACCCCACCTGGAGTCATGATTTACCACTTCTCAGGGGGGGTGAGTGTCATTGATGCATCTTGATGCACTCAAGATGGCATAGGTTCCACCAAACCAACCGTCATGTATAGAATGTAGGTATCCCCTAGTGTATCCCCTGTATCCACCAATAGGACCCTGTAACTTAGGAAGTGATGCAGGCAGAGAGAAAGAGATGGACACAGAGAGAGAGAGAGAGAGGAGACTCTTGATTAGTAAACCCCCCATTTCAATGCACTTGTTCCTAGTAGCTTCTTGCTACTAGTGGTAATGCCAGGAGCTACGTTCGTAGCTTCTTGCTACTAGATGGGGGCTATATAATCAAGAGTCAGTCCTTAGAGGCCTGGTGTCACCGCAAGGGCCCAGGTCAAGGAGGGGCTCACGAACCGGGCTCTTGGGGGTCAAACTTATAAAGTAAACCCATAGCAAACCCCTAGATTCTACAGGGCTTGACTCAAGGATTCTGTGTGCACCCTTGCAAGGGCCCTTTAGGATCAGCTCTCCTCTTTTTGGCACTTCGTCCACTGCAGGCTCTGGGCCTCAAGTTCCGCAAGAGCCTTCAGCAGCAACTCATCCAGCAGAATTTGCTGACAGAGGAGTTGCAGGGCCTGGCCGTCCAATAGACAGAAGAGGGTCCAAGCGTCGACCCCTGTGTGTTGTTCGTCGATTTGCAGATGTCAAAAAGTGCTCTTGTTTCTTTTCTCCTGGGGCCTGCTCATGGGATATTCATGCTGCGTGGACATTCTACTGCCATATATGCGTGTGTGGCGTTACACCTATTCAGGATAATCACATCTACAAAGCACTTGAAGGGAGGTACTGTAGAAGCACATGCAGGAGCTCTTCATGAACGTTCCAAACTGCAGAGGGTCTCATTCATATCCATGTTCACCCTGGGAGTCAAAGACTATAAAAAAAAGAATGCTCTGACGAACGGGGACCTGATTTCGGGAGGTTCCTGAACACTTCAGCCGGTCAACAGATCGTCTTCACTGGATCTTCGTTCGGCTTCAGCGGTGGACCACGTCGACCTTCCCGTCTGACCGCAGCGAACCGCGCCGCGTCACCCGTGGGTCGGGCACCGGCGCTCCGGTGGGGCTCGCCAGGAGCTCTTTGCGGAGCTGCAGCGGAAGGGTGAACTGAAGAGCCTGGTGGGCGCGCAATGGGCCGCGGTGAAGGACCAGCAGGTGGGTCTCCTGGGAGTCGAAGGAGAGGAGTGGGAGCGGGAGAAGTAGCGCGCGGTGGCAGTCGAGTATAGCGCGCGCGCGCGCTGGCATCGGTTGAAGAGGTGGTGAAAATCCAAATGGGGGGGTGGGTTATGAATCAAGAGTCTACAGTGGTTGGAGGGAGTGGAAGCAGAAGGGACGAGAGAAAGAGAGATGATATAATTCTTTGATTCATTGCAGGCCTTTGTCAAGGCCTATAGGAGACAAGAGGGCTTAGCATGCGTTTATGATTTGTGTTTTTGTGTTTTTCTTCGGTGTTGGTGTAGAGATGTTGGGCATTTGAGCGTCTCACAGGTGTTGGTCTTCTATGTGGCTTAATTATGCGTACATATTGGCATATATAGGCCTGGCCCCATGCCTTTGACCACCTGGGTCTTGTGGCTCCAGGCCTCCCACTTCTTTTGCAGCTCAGCATTTGGGATTCAAGGGGGCTGGGTTGGCTAGAAATCCAGGAGCAGTTGCGATAAGATATTATATGGCTGTTGCCCTCAACGGTCTCTATGCCTTCCCTTCTCCTGTCCAGGCGCACACTGCAGTGGTGGGCACGGTGCTGGCGGTTCACCAAGAGAAGGCCTTGGTCCTCCAGCATGTGGATCTCGATCGAGATGAAAGCAGCGAGATCGGGATGAGCTGCACGATCTTTTGCCACAAGCTGTCACAGGCCACTGGTGCGAATGGAAGCGTGCGAAGGAAGAAGGGAGCGAAGGAAGAAGGTGTGGCAGGGTCTACCTCAAGAAGGGTTCACCTTCAGTCTTGCCATTCCATACTATCTTAATCTATAGATAGTCAGTTAGTCAGTTGGCATTTGTATAGCAGCAATTGTGTGTTTGATATGAGGATCTCGCTGGTTCTGTGACAAACTTGCGACGGACTGGCGTTAAACTATGCCAAACCACAACCAACCCCTTGTCAAAATGCCGGAAGAATGCTCAGTCATGCTTTTATGGGCTTTTGAGCATTTAGATGTATTCAGCGATGATCTCATGCAGTGTATATAATATGAATCCAAGGCACTGTTTGCTTGGCAATATCTCGTTGGATTCATCGTTCTTTCCTGACTAGGCACCAACTTCTCATGTATGAGGCCCATTTCTCGCTTCACAAAAGTCTTGTGAATGTGTGTGTGTGTGTGTGAACATGCGTGAACTACAGCATCTACCGCACCTCGCTCCACGTTCGTCTCTCCCTCCGCTAGTCTCAGCCTCGGCTCCCAGCTGCAGCCGCAGGAGATCTTTGTCCTTTGGCTACCCCCTGCTGCGTCCAGTGCCTTGGGCCTCTCCTCCGGACCGAGTCACCCGGGACCCCTGCACCGCCTCTTGCAGCCGGACGCGGCGCCCGCATCGGCGCCCGCAGTGCCGGCGCGGGCGGCGAAGCGCCGGGCGCCGAGCTCGCCAGGTGGAGTGGTCACCGTGACCCGGGTTTGGAGGAGACGGTAATGAATGATCCCAGACACGACCTGTGTGGGACTGCCAGTCCGGACTGCCTTCCAAAACGGCGGTATGGCAGTCCCATGGAGTGGGACTTGTGTATGAGATGTGGACATCGTACTCGTACGTAGCAGTTCCATGGAGTTGGGTGCCAAACGTCGAGGATCAGGTTTAACAAAACAACATTCCTTTGGAACTGTACAGCTCACTCTATGTTCGTCTCAATGTGTACAGGTTTGTTTCACTTGTGTGGTCTAGTCAGATCACTACCCTGAATTACGAACTGTTGGTGTATGCTGGTATGTGTTCAGTTATAGAACCTTCCGCATTCTTTTTGCGTGCGTGCAGCCACTTGGTTTCATGTGGGCAACTTTCAACCTGGCAATACGGGGATCTGTCTGAGGTCAGGGGTAGTGTCAGGGGTTTGCTAACCTGTGCCTTGGCGCACGCGAACTATCACTGCATCCAGCATCATGATATGGTTTGTCATGCGAGATTGAAGTGAAAACGCAAAGGTTTCTGATTCATGCTCACTCGCAGCTTTGCGGAGTCAATTGGCCATTGCCGTTTAATCTGACAGCCATCTGAAGGTTCTGGCAGCTGACCTGTGGAAAAAGAAGCATGCACAGTTCATGGTGCGTTGCATTGCTGTATCTCTGATGACGAATGACCACACTCCCTGAAATCATCCTGGAAGTGAAGAACCACCTGTTTGTAGAGGAAAAGCGCTCATCCAAGGGACCATGTTCCACTTCCATGATTATTTCAGAGAGTGTAAGGATTCCCTGCTCGTGTTCCGTCGACCGTTTTGCTTCTTAAGTTTCCGTAAGCTGGCCATGCACCAGCATCCGGACCAAATGTTACCTGGCAAAAGGGCATTTCCAGTTCGCCACGTTCCCATCATCCACACCTGAGTTTGAGGAAAACCCCACGCCAGGCCGGCTTCGTGCTGCAAGTCCGCCGGAACCGCCGCTCAAAGCCCCTCGAGCTGAGCCGCCTGCGCCAACAACGCCTGCACCGACGCAAGCGCCCGCACCCGCGAGGGTCGACAGCCAGCGCCGTTCCAGCGGCTTCCTGCAGTTCTTGCAGGGCTCGACGCGGCCGTTGCGACCCTCGGGTGGCTTCCTGGAGATGCTGAACTGGGCCAGGATGGAAAAAGAAGTCGAGGAACGGAGGGAGGATCGGATGTGTGGAACTTTCATGGAAGTCTAGGGTTTCAGTGTTTTAGATATCTCAGATCGCTCAGATGAAGACCATGTTGGAACCCGTTCTGCTTGTGGAACCTGGCCTCAACTCCCCTCCAAAAAGGACCAACCATTCCCATGACCGTCCAAGGCCCTGACTGCATACATTTGCACTATGAACTTTGAACCACATAGTTGACTTCAGGTGGTTTTTCACCCGAAAAACCTGCACCGTCCACCCTATTCCCTTTCACTGGATGCCCTATATCCTCTCATATTCTCAGCTCTCACCCACCAGGCCCCAAAAGGCCCACGTCTCACGTCCGAGGCAGCGCTCACGTCGGCCTCACCGCGCGGAGCAAGACCCGCCCTCTGGGACGTCTCCATGGTGCGCCGCCGCGAGAGCACCACGGAGCGGACGAAACGGTGGGACGGCGCGGGACGGCGGGTGCTGAAGACGACGCTTCGGGAAGGAGGCCAAAAGATCATCAGACCGTGGAGCTATCAATGTATCAATTGTTTTTTTGGAGTTGTATCAATGTATAATAGTAGCTTGTGTTTTATGGTTGTTGGGGGATTCGGGCGATTGAATCCATGGGTCGAATCCTGGGAAAGAAGAGAACATGAAGGTATAAGGACAGGAAAACTTTGGAAGGCTCCGAGATCGGTAGTGCTTTAACAGGATGCTGAGTTCATGGATCTAAGTTTCAACACGTGTGCAGCCAGCAGCCAGCAGATGGTAGTCCACATTATACAAAACTGCCCTCACCAGGAGGGATATCAACCACGAAAACGCCCCTATGGCGCCACATCTTTTTCGCTGCCACGCTGCCGATGGTCCGTTGACCATGTAAATGGGAGGCCCTATTCCGTACCCAAATGGGAGGCCCCCAAGAAACCACCAAGCATTTGGTGGTTCCCATGGTTCATAGTACCCAAATGGGAGCCCCCATAGTATTCAAATGCTTCATGGTTCTGGGAGGCTGGTCCCACCCCATGGCACCGTACCGGCCGAACCCGATGGCACCGGCCATTTGCTCCAGGAGACCTTGAAGCCCCAGGAGGTCCGCGACTTCCTTCGCGCCGCCCAGCTGAAGACCAGCGCCGATGTGTTGCAACGCGGCGAAGGCCCGGCGTTCGGGTCGGACGGTGACCGAGGAGGTCCAGTGTCTGAAGCACCTGGGGAGGGAGGGAGGGAGGGAGAGAGAGAGAGCTAGAGGGAGGGAGGGAGGAGTGAAGAAATGTGGATGACATATAGTTATACTGTGACTATGTCAAGTCAGTTGAGTAACTAACGAACTACGCATGGCAGAAACACATCTTTGGCAAAGGAGTGAGATCTGTGTATCCGGAGATGATCACCATTACTAATTCCTTTTCCATCAGACCCTTGAAGTGCTAGACAATGGAAAGAATGCAGCACAGCTCCTCCCGCCGCAGGATCGCTCGACCGAGCAAGCACCTCGGGATCGCTCGCCGTGCGAGGCTGGACCTTGGTGGTCTCACAGCTGCAGGGAGCTCCTGCCCTTTGCGACCTGCATCAGAGGCTCTTCGCCGCCACAGGAGATCGGGCCAGATCGGAGAACGGGGAAGGTCGCCGTGGGCGCGACGCGTGGGTCGAAACGCAAGAAGAGCACCGGGCGCACCACGCAGTGCTTATATTGCGGAATGTTTGAGTCAAATCCCCTTCGAAAATATATGGGTGATTTTCATGGGTTGACTTTTGTGATCCTGTAGGAAAGTCTTCAGGACTTTCTTCCGGCATCAACGCCTACTTGACCCCTCCTGATGCCATCGGAAAGCCGCCCCATGTGGATGACCATGATGTGCTCGTCTTGTCGCTGGGCCTGCTGGGCGGTTTAGAGCTGGGCAGGAGGTGACTAGCTGTGACTAGCTTTTGCTCACAAGGCATACAGAAGTCCCATGATAGGGGCCTTCACCTATGCTACCCCCGCTTAGGCGGAAAGTATAGGGGGCTAAGGAGCTGGTGGTCTGACAGGGAGCCGAACTCGAAGCGACCAAGGGAGGTTCACAACCCCGACAGCTAGGTCGATCTAGAATTCGTCTTAGAGTGGGATGAGGGCATGAGCTGACTGTGGAATGGAGTTCTTTGCAATTGAATTTGCATTTTATGGTACCCACCATGGCCTCTTCACCTGTTGAGGCCTGGAACTCTCCAATGCTTTGTAGTTGCTTCTTAATGCGAAAGACCCATCCTCGACTGGCGTGGAACTCAGGCCACAACACGATAAACCTTTCCTCGTCGTCTTTGAGACCGGGGAAGGGACAGATCGCTACTAGTAACAAGCTAGTGCACTAACAAGTGCATCGCTACGAACCGTTCGCGATCGGACGCGAACCGAACGGGGCGACCCTGGCCATACTAGAAGCAATGTTCGCTTCATAGTAACTAACCCAGACACTCCATGGGACTGCCATATATGCCGATCAATTGACCCCCTGGCACCACCCCAATGTAGGCATATATGGCAGTCCCATGGAGTGTCTGGGTAAAGGGACAGATCAGATGACCGTGGGAGATCTGTCGGACTCCCCCGGGTCGGTCCTTCTTGACCGTCACCGGTTCGGCGGTCCCGAAGGCAGCTGGCGGGCTCGAAGACCTGGACCCTCTTGGACGACGCCCGGCAGACGATCCGCGAGCAGGTCCGGAGGAGGGGCCGAGCAGGAGGGGAAGGTCGGTTTGGGGCCACCGGAACTGGCCAAAGTGGCAGTTCGAGCCGCAGGTCGAAGGTCAAGGATCTCCTCACTTTAGAGTTGCACAATGTTCCACACCAATCTATAGAGGGCTTCTATAGCCCCCGGCCCCTTTTGAGCTCCTCTCACTGCAGAAATTCTTGGACCAATTCATGGCACAAAACTTTTCGACTCAGGTTCCTAAAACTAGGGTTCTTCAACCTTTGTTGGTACATCGGGTTGGTTGCGCAAAGGGCTCAATGATCTATTGGACTCCAAAAACACGCCCGATTTGGCCTCCTCAGTCGAAAGCAGCTTCCCAGCGCTCCAGTCGAAGCACTCTGTGGCTTTCTTTGGCCTGACGAAAGCCGTGCGCGCGCAAAGGGGATTCTGCATCTCAGAACTCCTGCTTTGTCCTCAGTTGACCTTACCTTACAAACCTGGGATTCGTTTATCCATGTTTATCCAACACCATCATATTATGATAACACCCTCCAACAGGTCACCACCTGACACGTTTACAGTAAGTCTCCATTTCAGCCACCAGAAGAGCCCTGTTCAAGTCGGGTGCTGGTCGGGTTGTTTCTCGAGTCAGGTGCCATTGACCAAGGGAGACGTCATGTACCTGCCACAAGGCCAATGGACCTGCATGGTTGGACACGGCATGGTTGGACCTGTGGGTGCAAGGCTAGGTCAGAAGAGATGTGGGGTCCAAGGCCTCCAAAGAATTCCTTCTAAAAGAGACCCAAGTAGTCATCACCTAGGACCTATAGTGACCTAGTGGTGGAATGTTCGAAGGTATATCTCTGGGTGAGATGATGCTGGTGGGATGTTGGGTATGCAGGCAGCACGTGCGAAAACCAATGGGATTCATTAAGTAGCCACATTTCACCAAGCCATAGACATGAACAGCTGTTCGTTCGATTTGCGACGTGGCGAGAGCAAACCTCACCAGCAAGTAGACTTGGTTAAACACCCCAACCACCCGTAGGCCACATCTATCTATCCATCCTTCCTTCCTTCCTGGCCTTCCGTCCTTCCTTCCAGGTATCCCGCACCATGCTGCTGCCATGGCAAGCCATGAAGCCTCATTGCACCTGGCGGTGGCCTTGCATCGCCGGCCCATGTCCTACAGCAGCGTGCTGGGAGCATTGGTCACGCTGAGGTTGATGGCACCTGGGACCTGCAGCGGTGGGTGTTTTGAGCAAAAAATATCGCCAAGATCCTAATAGCGTCCTTGCTCCTAGTAGCAATGCCCTTTGCTACTAGCTATTTGATGCTATTTGCTACTAGTAGCGATGGCCTCCAACCTAATAGCGATGGCCTCCGCCTCCAGCTACAACAAATGGTGTAAACACCAGCTCAACGGGATCTTTATCGGTGATTGCTACTAGTAGCTTCTTCTTCCTAGTAGCGATGGCCTGCAACCGACTTGCGATGGCCTCCACCTAATAGCGTCCTTTTCACCAGCTAAGCAGGAGCTAGTAGCACGGACGCTACTAAGCCATATATCTTGTTGAGCTGGAGTTGAAGATGGGAGGCTCCTGATCCACCCAGCATCACTTAAAACAATGATGGTTTGATGTTTGCCAGGGTTTGAGGATGATTATAACAAGGTTCCAAGCCTTCCGCTTCTTGCAACAGTTCAACAGCCAGCGCCAAATTGTAGTCCAGATTCGTCCGGCGAATTGGTTGAAATACCTCGATGAGGGCTCCCGTACGGCTCCCCAACATGCCCATGGATGTGGGTGAATCGATCAAGTTGAATCTGTCCCATCCTTCGAAAAATCTGAACTTCCGAAGCCACAGGGTGCCCCACTAGTTTGTACGAAGCCGCAGGTCTCATAGGGAGGGTTCTTATACGGAAAAAGAAAGGGCCTTTTGATATGTTCCACTCAGTTGCATGGCCGTTCTTGGCTTTCTTTTGGAGACTTGGGTTTGGCCATAGGTGAACATACACCCTCAACGATCAGAGGTTGAAGTTGGGACCGGAGGTGGATGACCTGTGGAGTTGGAGTTGGATACAGGTGAATGGACACAAACTGCTGGCGAAAGGCTGTTGGGGAGAAGGAGAAGGCCTTGACCAGAAGGTCGTGGCGCCCCTGTTATGATTCGACCGGGGTTGACCGTCGGACTTAATGTTCACCATCTATTGATCCATGTTGGGGTTAACCCTCCAAGCATGGTTACGTGGATGGCGCCCCCTGGGAAGGCTCATTTCCTCTACCAACAGGGGGCTGCCATCCACGTAACCATGTTGGAGTGAAATCCATCAACCCTTCTCTATGTTTGGATTCCTTGGGCCACCGGCGTAAGACCCGGCGTAAGGACCCTGGAGATGGCGACCTGCTCCCAGCGACTTAGGCCGCAGGATGCGGAATTTCCATGCTGGAGAGCCCTGGTTCAGACACATCCCAGGAGATGGATCCTTTACCTGGGGGAAATGGCTTGAGCTCCATCAGTGGGCCATCAGAGGTGAGAAATGGCACGTTTCCCCAAAGATGTCTTAGACAGATGGGGGTCCATATGCTCACCGAGATTTGGGGGTCTGTGCCATCTACTCTCAATCCACTATTACACCCTGGAAGACTAACATGGAACCTGAAAACCCCTGGTTGGTAGAGGAACATCGTCTTCCACGGGACCATTGTCAGGGTCTATGTTAGTTTTCGGGAGTGTATATTAAATTACGACTCGAAAGGGCCTCAGGGCCGACTCTTCCAGACCCTGGAGTGGTCCATCTAAGAATTCGGTCTGAGTGTGGCGACCTGGGCGGTGAACTGGGTGACAGGAGCGCACGTCACGTGCGGATGGCCAATTGGATTCTTGCCAGGGATGGCTAGTGCGAAATGACCCTGTGACCGTCTCAGTGACCGTGTATGGGTAGGGACCCTATAGGGCCTGGTGTTTTTTAAACACGCACACAGATCACACTTTGTGACCTGTTGGTTGCCGGCATGACCTTCCCTTGAAGAAAAAAAATCCGGTTGAAGCCGTGTGTCGTTCGTGCCATGCATAGGCCGCTTTGGTGGAAGAGATGGAGGGCCGCAGTCAGAGCTTTGCAGCCTTCGGCGCGCGAGAGCATTGGATCAATCAACTGCTGCCCATGCATTTGGCTCTCGCACCTTGGAAAGAGAGTTCGGTGTCAGAAGCGGTTGGATCAAGTTAGATACCAGGAGTCACAGGGAGTAGGGTGGTTTTGGGTCCCCAAGTGAGTTAGATAGGTTAGATGTGCATTTACTGAGGGATGTGTCAAGATATGAGACAGCTTGGGTGCTGCAGCGTGGAGCCTTGGAGCCGCCTTGGGCGGAAAAGCATCAAGACACAAGGGCATCGCTACTAGGAACAAGGGCATCAATAGACAAGTAGCTAGAAGCTACTAGTGCCTTTGTTCCTAGCGGTTCCTAGTAGCGAATGCCTTTTCGAATACACACGATCTGAACGGAACGTTCCGCCTCCACAACACTTCGGTCGCCGGCTCGGTCGCCGGGTCCGAGGTTCGAGCTCTGTCGCCGGAGGACCTCGACGTAGGCGCGACGGTTCCGCGGGAGGCCATCAGAGAAGACCCGTTTGGCACTGCCATATTCCAACAACCATTGTTTTAATGGTCTTTAATTACCAAAGAACCATTGTTTTACTGGGATTTTGCACAACCGCTCAACCGTTCTTTTAATGGTCTTTGAAGGCTAGGGTATCGCTATACATTGACCCCCCCAGACCATCCCTGGCCTGATCGGTCTATTTGCCAGTCCCAGACAGGTCAGGTATAGGAACCTCCGGAGGCTACTAGTCGCTGGCGGAAGAGGCATGACACATCCGATCCCCTGACGGGTTTGAGCTCTGCGCAGTTCGGAAGGAGCGGCGTTCGCGGCGTCAACGGAGAGCCGCGTCAGCCCGTGACTTCAAGTTCGACGATGTTTATTTGGACCGAAGGTTGCAGGAATGTCAACTCGGGTCGACCGGAGATTCTGGACTTGGAGACTTGGAGTTGAGTCGACTGGACCCCCAGCAGTGACCTTATTATAGGACCCTACAGGGGTACCTATATATAGGATAGTCTAGAGGGTTCTTCAACCTCTGCTGGAGGGTAAAGGTCATGAACAACGAAGAAACCGGGATCCACCGCCTCCCAGGGGACTCCCAGAGCGCCCGACCGCGCCGCACGCAACCGACGAGGCCTTCGCCGCGAGTTCTGCGCCGTGCTGCGGCAGCGCAGCAGGGACCTGGCGGAGCTCCTCCGGAGCCCAGGCGTGGTGTGGCTGGCGGAGCGTGGCGGCGGGCGGAGGCCGTTTGGGGAGGAAAGAAGAGGAAGATCCTGATGCTTTTTGGGCGGGGAGATTGAAAGGAGAAGAAACCCCAGCCCATTAGAAGGTGGATTCATGAATCTGCGATCCATCTGAAGATTTCTTGAGATGTTCGCCCGATCTCAGACACTCCATGGATCTAGAATGTATGCCTACATTTGGGTGGTTTCAATTTGCAATGTAGCCATATTATCCCATGCATGGGAGTGTTTGCGTAATACCAACCCAGCTCTTCAGAAGAAGGTTTTGAAGGACCTCACCTGCTGTTGGAACCACCTGGGACCTTCCACCAGAACGACCCTCGCCTCGTTGCTCGGCACCGAACCTCCTGCCCGCCGGCCCGGGCGACGGCCTGGTGTCTCGGGAGACATGGAAGACGCGGACCTGGGCATGCCCGTGGGCGCGCGGCGGCAGCGAGCCTTGCTGCGGGCCTCTGTGCGAGGTGGGATTGGGTACACCAACACGCGCGCGCGCAGTGACATGCGCGCGAGTGTCGCCAGGGTCGCCCGAATGTTTGAGCGGCGTCAAGAAGTTGGGAACAGTCCGGAAGATTGAGATACTCCTCAGTTTGTGAGTAGGTGGTGCTAATCCGCGTATTTTTTTAATGGGGACCTGGGTTCTAGACTTCTTGACTAGGTTTCTGGCTCGTGCATCTACATTGAGCCGACAAAGCTCTCAGATAACCATCCCCAAAACGTAGGTCCAACAAGAGATCATTGAACCGATTGAACTGTGACTACCTTCCCTACTAGAGATCCACATACGCTTTGAGAAGGTGATGAGACACTGTTATGTAGGTTTCAAGGGTCCAAGTAACATGCTCCATGCCAGATCTTGGGAACAGAAGCCTTTTGTGACAGGTTAATTGAAAGAAAGTGAAGATCCGCCATTTTGGATCACGGCCCCCAAGTCCTGCGAGCCTTGTAGGTAGCGAGCGGGACTTGGAGGAGGCCGCACAGCTTCCCGAGGAGGACGACGGGCTCAGAGTTCATGTTCGGGTTCCTGTGGCGAAGAGATGAACAAAGACGCCGGCAACGCCACAAGATGTTGTGGATATGGGTGGGTTGTGTGTGTGTGTGTGTTTTTTCCTTGGATTCTAGGTGGATCTAGGTGGTGTTTCAGGATTGGATCTATCAGAATAATTAGGTCAAAGGAACAGTCCTCGACTGTGAGCAGACGCAAGAGGAAGAGAGCTAAGAGCACACGCACGACACACATGCAACAAGACATCCGTCATTGAGACACCATGTCTTAAATGTTTTGGAGCTTCAAGACATATAATAGGACACAAAAGCTCCCACTGCTCAACCCTTTAAAAGAACGGGTCGCGTCTCTCGTGGGTCCATCGGTCAATGATTTGATGTGTTTTTCTCAGAAGTCTCTCGCGTTAAGCACTTTGAAGCCCTAGCATCCTTGCTCCATTCGAGTCGCGATGCCCTTTGCTCCTAGTAGCTCTTGTAACTAGTAAGGCCAGGGTCGCCCCGTTCGGTTCGCGTCCTTTCGCTCGCTCGCCGAGTCGCGATAGGCCACCTCGTCGCCCTTGGCCGCTCGTCGCTGCACACCGAGCGGCAGGACTTTGAAGCCCTGGCGTGTGCCGCCTTTTGGGTCCGTCGCGAGTACGTCATGGACCCCCGGGGATGGTGTGGACCCGTGCATCGTCGAGGTCGGGCGCGAGGTCGAAGACGGGCGTCCGGCCGGTCTTGACGGCGTGTTTTGGGGGGAATGTGAAGCTCGGAATGTGAAGCTGTGCTTTTGCACTGTAGCCTTTGGGCAACCTGCTAGCACCGTCATGATCAACGATGGCATGTAGTCTGACTAGGATCACTGTAGGCACCAGACTCCTAAGTACTTTGTTGCTTTCAGGCGAGGGATTTTCTTCCTCCTTTCCAAGGTGTAGATAAAGTATATTCCATTGTCCCATTTCGTTCCCAATCTTGCTGCGTGTTGTGCCACATGGCCGCCTCATGAACCAGTACACTCCCCGAAAAAATCATGGGGCTATGGCACTATGCCATCCACACATCCGTGATTCTTTCAAGGAGTGTGCACATGGCCTCCTCATGAATTCATAATATGGGACACCTGCACATGTCACAGCCCAGCCATCCCACCCCCGGCCTGGCCCAAACAGGAGCAACACTTTCGTCAGAGCGGCCCCTCCGGCCCGCTGGGCGGCCCCAGATCAAGTATCGAGTGGATCGGGCGAGATCAAAGGATCAAAACACGGCGACATGGCGTAGGCTTCAGAGAGGGTCGTAGTCATACTGACTCGCCCCATGCGCCCTGGAAGAGGGATGGGACCAAGGATCGATATTGGGACAATGCTGAATTCCTGAAAACAGAATCCAAGGACTGGGGGGATGTGAAACAGTCCGACTAAAGGGTGCCCTAGTTTGTCACAGGTGGTTCACACTAGAACATCAAAATGGGATTCCACACCATGGAAAAGGTCCTTTAGTAGCTGAGGTGTACGGCTTCCCAGGGCCCCGGTACTCTGCCTCATGTCACGTCCTCTTCATCCACCACTCATCCGCTGACCACTCTGCTGACCTTTTCTGCCCCAAGCCAAACAAACTGCCGCCTTTTCTATCCTTTTCTGCTGGCGCCGGCGAAGCCCGCGCGGGTGGTCCATGGCGCTGGCGAAAGGCTGGTCGCCCAAAGGGTCCTCTAAAGGATGGGCTCCACCGAGCCACTCCGGGCAGCTGAACCGCCGCATCCTCGAGAGGTGGGCGATGGCTGGCCGGGCACGTCATGCCGTGCCGTGCCGTGCGCGTGTCGCGCGTTGGGTGGGAATGGAGGGTGTCCCAAGTTGCAATGACCCCTGCCTTAAGTAATAACTAGTAGCTATTCCTGGGTATGTGGACATAGGGGGGTTCTAAGGTAGGAGTCATAAGTTGGAGGGATGTTCACGTGTTAGACGGAACCTTCGCTCGCGCGCCATCGCGGATGGCTGGCAAGAGCGAACTTACCGCTGTTGACAGCGTGTTGACAGCGAGGGCGCCTGAACATTGGTATCATTACCTCGGTAGGTCTCGCATCAATACGTGACTTACTGCCTATTTAACTACAAAAACCACTGCTGGGCAAATGGCTGCTACAAAGGCCTATAGCCTATAATCACTAACCACTGCGGGCCGCCAAGAAAGCCAAACAAAATACCTCGGGCCTGACCATCCTGCAGGAGTGCCGAGGAGATCTTCGAACTGTTGCAGTCCGAGGAACGCCTGGACTTCGTCAACCTGGTCACCGCCTTACATCGCGTGGCCAAGACCACCGGCGCGCGAGATCCACGGCTTTGAAAGCTCTTGGACCAGGCCAGGTTCGGCTCGTTGTTCCCAAGCGAAACAATGCTGGCTCCATGAACCATGAACCAAACATAATGACATATTGGATGACGATGTTCTGAAGACCATGAAACTCTTCACATGTCCACTGTTTCCCAAAAGGAACCGAGCAACACGCTGTCAGGTGCAAGCTCAACTTCTCAGCTCTAGTACCTTAAAACGTCCGCGGCACTTGGCGAATACCCTGTGAGCCCTCTCTCAGCTTCAAATTTCTTCGGCTCCTTTGCTGGATGCTCTGACCACTTCAGCACACGACTGCATGGAGCAGTTCGAGCCCCAAAGCCTCGCCAGCAGCGCTTGGGCCCTCGCGAAGCCTGGGCTCTTGCTTAAGATCCTGTATGTAGTTTATTTACATATGATGTTTACGATTAGAATATACGTAGTCAGTTCTAGTTCTTCCTATCTTTTATCCAGGTTTGCTGTCACAGCAACTCCCAGGAAGTTGTCGCCGGCGTCCCGGCCGGTGTGGCCGCTCTGGGAGGCGTTGGCTCGACGCTCGGTGGAGCAGATCTGGGAGTTCGACCCACGAGGCGAGCAGCGGACGCGACGCGAACAGCGAGGGACCAAGGTGAGCGAGAGCGAGGGACCAATGAGCGAGCACAAGGGAGTAGTCCCGGGAGAGTCCTACTGCTTCAGGGATATGAGAGAGAGAGAGAGAGACCTGTTTAGAGTGAAAGAGGTCAACATAGGGGTGAACATATAATAAAGCAGCCGTGCCCCTGAGCTTGCGCAAGCTAAGAGACCTGATTTCAGCGCGGCAGGCTGTGGGGTGGGAACAGCTGGCATGACCTGGTTGACCTCGTCCCAGAGATGTTCTCGGATGAGTCTTGACGGATCCCAAGATCAACGGCAAGCAAAACATGCTCAAACATGCTCAAACCCACCTGAAAAACACAAGTGCTGCAGCTTCTTCAGCTTCATCTCATCGTGTCGACGCGACGCCTGTCACGTGCTGGACCCTGCGTCCCGGAGGCTTGTCGAATAGCGCTTGGAGCTGCGCGACCCTGCGCTGCCGCGACGGGCCCTTGCTGTCCGCGGTGTGGGCTGCGGCGACGCCGAGGATGACGGAATTCGATGAGCAGGTCCTCTCGCCCCACTTGTGGGTCCCAGAGCGGTAGCTAAGATCATACCTGGATCTTCCAATATATGACACATTTCAGCATGTTGGCTGCCTTTTTATGGATGAAGAGAAAGAAGTTTGCCACAGTTGGGAGATCATTTATATACTGTACTATAGTTCATGTTGCAGAGGTGAAAAAGGGTTGCACCCCTCATCCAGAAGGGGCAGGGTGACCTGATGTGACTTGTGACGTCATCAGGCGCTATCAACGACCTTATGGGCCTTGGCCAAGCTCTTGGAGCACAAGGCGCAATGTTCTCGTCCGGGGGGGGAATTCATTGAATCGAAGAAAGGTCACTTGTGGAGAGTTTTGCCTAGCAAGAAGTTCAGAAAAGTTGGGGATGCAGTACGGATGAAGCAGATCAGATGTTGCTGATTCCCTGGGAGTCCAGTTGACTATCAGAAAAGAATGGTCTTGGACCAGGTCGTTTGGTGACTCACAGGTTTCACTCGTGAGTTGAAGCCACCAACCGCTTGATGAAGACACAGTCGGCTGAGTCAGCTGAGTCAGAGTCTGGTGGGCCAAGCCAGGAAGAACTGTCAGAGATGTTGAACGCAGAACTTCTCTTCGTTAACATCTGGTAGGACAGCTTTGAGATAGAATAGACTCACCCTAAGCCTTCAAAGATCATTGAATCTTCTGAAGTAATTATATCAACTAGGTAAGAAGATGATTTGGTTGACCTGGTTTGGGTGTCAAATCCTTCTATTGGACAAAACCCCATGGCTTCTTCGGGAATGCAGGCGATATCATGCTTGCTGCTCGCACCGAGTGGGTCCTCTAGACCCGATGGGGGAGCACGCAGGTGCCGGGCGCGGCCTCCCTAAGTGGCGCGCTCCTGGCCGAAGTGCGAGGGCGCTCAGATCTTCCTCCACAGGGCTTGGCCAACATCTCCTGGGCCTGCGCCACGCTCCGAGCTAGAGCCTGGGCCGCACCTTCGCTCGTCAAGCGGTTGAAAGACGGTCCAACGGGGGCGAGCTATGGGGACCGAAACCACCGCGGCTTTCGGTCCTTCCGAAGGTCTGAAAACCGTGGAGGTCGCGTGGAGCAGCTGTCGTTCACTTGCCAAGCTTGAAAACCCTAGGCCTCCAGTCGTACCTTCAGAGAAGGTGGGACTGGGGGTGCCAGGAGAGGGTCTAACACTGAGGAGGTACGACTGGAGGTGTAGGGAAAGGAACCTACTAGCAATGGCCTCCAACCTCGATGGCCGCTGGCCTGTGTTTTCAGTGCATGAACGTGCTCCCGACCCGAGTGGCATTCGGCATTGGGCGTTGCTTGGAAAAAGGACAATGATTGTTGGACTATTCAGCCTCACACCTCTCTCGGATTTTTGGGACGAGTGCCTTTTCAGGGGCGGTTGCTAAGGGCATTTGGCTTGAACTGGGTGGGGTGCTGGGGCCACCTGCCTCCCCACTGACCATCTATACAGGTCCATCCATGGCCGGCCCGACCGACCTCACCCGCCCGACCGAACCCCAAGGCGACCAGTCCTTGATGGAGGCCTTGGCCACGCAAGGTTCCCGAAGACTTCGGGAGTTGCAGCCGCAGCACGTGTCCAACATGGCCTGAGCCTTCGCCAAGATCCAGCTTCTGAAGGAAAAGTTCTTAGCTTCTTGGGCCGGAACAGAGATCAAAAGCCGGAACAGCTTCTGTTTGCAAAGCGTTCCCTCCAGAGAGGATTTGATATTCACTCAGACGGGGAAGTAAGGATGAACTCCGGAATCCAGCAGCCCTTGACAAAAGCAAAACAGTAAACAGGGTCCATGGAGATGGGATGGCATTCAATGTCTTCAGTCTTGCAGGCTGCACCATGGGGGTGTGGGGGTGTTCACCGTTGGCAGCCCAGTGGGAGGCGATGTCCGCGCTACACCGATGTTTTGGGTGAACGGCTGTTCCATGGAATTCAACATTCCTCACACAACTCTGGCGACCGCTTCACTGACACGGAAGAGGAACAGGATGAACACGGCCCCGCTATTTGATCGGAGCGTTCCTCGGGGCGGATGCGGACGGTTTTTTCCACTTCCATGCGAAGTGGATGTGTAACATCATGTAACACCCATGCGGTGGTGCCGGGTGGGTTTGAAGATGTCCGCCTGGTCATCCGGCCCTGACTCCCGGCATGACCATCCGGGATGTGAAGAGTTAGGTCACCTGGTCCGCCCTTCGCCCTAAGCCGCTTGGAGGCTGACCTTTGCCACCAGTCCTCACACCAGATGCGCGACTTCGGAGCACAGAACTTGGGCAACTTCGCGTGGGCGTTGGCCAAGCTCCTGGTCGATGATGCTCCCATCATGGCGCAGATCTCCGCGATGGCACGCCAGAAGATACGGCTTTGTGGTCACCAAGAACTGGGCGACTTCGGATGACTTCGGTTCGTACAGCCACCAGAGGCAAGGAAGTTCTTGACTGTTGATGATCGACCCCTGCTTGGTAGAGGATGTTCATGGTCTTCCAGGTTTTTTTCTCCCCCTCCTACTTCCATGATGCCATTGGAGTTTAAGAGTTCCTGATTCTTGTGACTCCTTATCCTAAGGGTAAACCTCTTAGCTTGGAGATCAGGTTTTGACCCCTCTTCAGTGCAGTTGCTTTGGTGGGACTTTGCTCCCCCTCCTACAAACAAAGCAACAAAGCTGGAAGTGGACAACCCCCTGCTTGGCATTCGGAAAAGGCTCTTTCCGGGGGGCGTTTGAGCAGCGCTTTGTTCATCAAATTAAATGATAAAAGGATTTGAGTATGGAAGTGGAACTGGCATGCTTCTTTCTGTATAGGCCCTGACACACACACACAAAACACACACACACACACCAAAAATAAATATACAAAACACTACTCACTTCCCATGATGACTTCGAGGAGTGTCACGTCGTACGTGTCATCCCACCCGACTCAGACTGTCCACGCCACTGCTTGGCGGGTCGTCCTTCATCACCATGCTTGGGTTGGTGCATGTTCAAACCCTAGGGATCCAGTCGTACCGAACCTCAGGTATGGTGAGGACGGAGACTATTGATGTAGTAGGCGCCAGGAGGGCCCAGTCGTACCGAACCTGAGAAGGTATAATGTGTGGATCCCTAAAGAAAGGGAGATTCCCCAAACAGTTGGCTAAATTGGTCGACGTTCCTTCAACTCCACTCGGGGTGGAGTTGAACCCCTCCAAAAAGGTCTCCCATATGTTTGGAGCTACACAGCTACACATCCAAGGCAACATCGCTTGGGCCTTCACTACGCTGAGCATCCGAGAGCTACCTCTGTTGGAGGCCATCGCGGTGGAATCCCAGCGGCGCATGGTGGAGTTCAACGTGCAGGGTATGGCGAACAGCGCGTGGGCCTTGGCCAAGGTGTGGGTGTCGTGGTGTGGGGCTTTTGAGGGCCGAAGTTCCGTTCCCTGCCTCCCTTCCCCTGAAGAGCGGGGGAATGGGACCAAGCTCATTTTTGGAGTGTGCCTTGGATAGAGGAGCAGGGGGTTTGCTTTTTCATGCTTTTTCAATGTGGTCAAGAAGCCATTTCAACAGCTTGATCCACTAGTATTAAGAGTCCCATGTTTTTGATCATACTATAGCCTGACTGTGTCACCCCAACAGGCCAACGCAGAGTCTCAGAGTGTTTCAGCATCGACTGACTTAGGTCCATTTGTCCATGTGGCATGTCTTGGGCCAATTGGATCAGGCCCCCCAAATCTCTAGGGATCCAAGTCATTCTCAGGAGGTGATGTGTTCGACACTCTTATGTAGGTTTTCAGGGTCCAGTCGTGCCTTCTGAGGTTCGGTACGACTGGATCCCTAGGGAATTGTAGAAGTCGCAGTGGCCGCAGGTGAGTTTTCCACATCAGCCCTTCTTCAACTCCGTTTCCGCCGCTGCCCAGCGGAGCATGTCAGAGTGGGATCCGCAGGCCCAAAACCGGTGGCAGCACCACAAGTTGGGCATTTCAAGCTAGCCTAGCCAGTCAAGTGGGTCACCTAAGACTATATTTTGACCGGCTGAAGTAACTTTCAGTTCCCCTAAAGACTATTCTATACTATTCTATTCTTTTTATAGTCTTTGACTCCCAGGGTAGGGATTGGTTTCCCCACTGCACAAGAACTCAGGTGAAAAAAAAGACCTTCAGTGTTCTACAAGACGGCTCGGAAGTCAGCCCTGGTATATAAGTGATAGCACGTCCTACAACTTGGGAGCTCAATGTGAAGAGAACATGTTGGTGCTCACGACAGGAATGTGTCCTTTTTTTTCGGAGTCACCCGGGTGGTGACACGAAAAGAACACCCTGCTCCAGGTAGGGATTTGAGAGTCTTGCGGAGGATAGGGGCAGAAGATGGAAGAGTTCGTATATGTGTGACAAACTGTTCCAGTTGCGTGCGGACCGCGCGGATGGCGAATGTTCTTTGCAATCACCTCCTTGGTCAACACAAGGCGATTGCCAACCTCTCTTGGTCTTTCGCCACGATCAGCGTCCTCGACGATCCCTTGATGACAGCGATTTCCTTGCGAGCTGTTTGCGTCATCTCTGAGTTTGCCTGTCAGCACCTGTCCAACAGCCGCTTGCCTGACATCAAAACGGTGCAGAACGATCAAAAAGACATCAAAACAAATCACATAACAATAGAGCCACAGCGCACGTCATCACTCAAAAGACTCAGGGCAGTACTCAGGGCATGTCCAGCATAGTTCTCCTGTTTTGCAACCTGTACGTCAGACAAAGTCTTTCAGTTTTTGCTGCAGACATTGGGACAATGGACAGTTCTCCTTCGCAGATACGATTTGGTGTGAAATGATGCCCTTTGACCTCAGGCAACACTTGCCTCAACCAAGAAAAGCTCGCTGCATGGTTACCTGAGGCATTTGGACCTATGCCACCCTACAAGTGGAGTATGATGCAGAGTGCTTGACGGAACTGACCGCTGTCAACGCACCAAAAAGGGGGGCGCCCGAACGCGAGACACGCTCCGCGAAGCTCTCACTTGCGTGCGAGCTTTTCGGGGCCGACGTCCGGTTTCGAGTGATTTTTGGAATTGCTGACATTTGGCGTCGAAGGTGGCGTGTCATTGGGCGTAGGTGGGGTCATGCCTGGCCCAAAGTAGGGCATGCCAAGCATTGATGGTGGTTTTACAATGTTTTATGGAGGGCCCTCACCGTTCCACAATGAATCGAGGGTGCTCATATATGTATGATTATGTATGTGACATTTTTGTGTCCAAGTGGGGCAAGAAAGCCGGCCTTGTGCTCTCCCTCACGCAAAAGCCTGGTGTGTGGCTCCAATGTTGCAGACATGTCCCCAAAATCAAAGTCTTCTTGACTGAAACCAACTCGGTCATCCATACCCAACCCACCCCAACCCTGTCATTACGCAACCCTGTCATCCATACCAACTCCCTTCCATTCCCTAAAGTCTTTGAACACCCCGACAAGCACCACAAGGTGCAGTGCCTTGCTAAGCCGCCAGCACTTGCGCTTGAACGGTCGCCACTGGCGGGTGAAGCCCCTGGGCTCATTTGATCGGTGCCACCACTTTCGCTGTGGTTGTCGACGACGAGTAACACATGGTTTGATGGTTTATGGGACTGTTCATACCTGATGGTATATTGGGGCTGTCAGGCCATTCATAACCTTGTTTGATGGTTTGATGGTTGTCAGACCTCAAAAGTTGTGAGTCTAAATGTGAGCCACAAGGCCGTTTAAGTGATTTATTTTTTTTATGATTTTTTTATGTTTTTTTTTAATGATTTCACTATGTTTTGATTTATGTTTTTGTTTTTTGGCAGTTTTGTTATATGATTTTTTATGATTTTTTATGTTTGTTTTATGTTTTCATTTATGTTTTTTTAATGTTTCTTAATAAAATACACTGTTTTTCATCAAATTTCCTTGATGCTTAAATGTCATTGCCTCTTCAGGGTTTCTGTTTCTGTCCTATTGTTCTTGTGTTGAAAAAATTGGTTTGTAAAGTATTGGTTTCCAGCCAAGTATATAAATGAAATAACTCACTCTGCAAAAGAAACTATGCAAACCCTCTCCCAGCAGTCAAAATTTGCCTGCAATCCGAATACAGGCCCTGGATATATGTCAATCACGCTAACCTAGCGCACTTTGCGTCCTATGTGAATGGTGTGGGTACGACCGGTAAAGCTTGAGGCAAGGCTCGGGCTTTAGGCTCTAGCAACGCAAACCAAGGCACTTTTGACTGCGTCGTAAAAAGCCAGACTTCTGCCTAGACGTAGAAATGACCGCTCCCAGTAAAACCAGCAGGCAGGCACTCAAACCAACAAACAAGGCACTGACCATGACCAGGAACACGACTAAGCTTCTCTCTGCCGCGCGTGCACACATGGCAAAATTCATAACATGAAAGGCCCCTTCCTCAGCGTCACAGGGCCGGCCACAGGCCGGGCAGACTTGGCGTTTGCTGCCCTGGCCAGCTCTAGGTGACCTCCCACCTGCCTCTACACTTTGGACGCGGCAGCTCTCGAGGGGCCACTGCGCAACCTACAGACCTCGCCGCTACCTTCCCAGCCACCGCGCCGCGTCCTACCCACACCTGCGGAGACGCGCCGCGCGGAATCATAAAAAAAACATAAAAAAAATCATAAAT